TTATTTCAATACACAGCTAGTAGTGGTGTTACGTCCGTTTGTAAAAACAACACGGTATTGAGGAAAAATCTGAAAAGTTTCAACAGACGAAGAAATTGAAGATGCATGATTGAAACAAATTCATAAAACACATTTAAAGCTAACAAGTTGTTATTGTTGGCATGTGTTTTTGTATAGACCAATGGGAGTATTTTCATAATACTAAGTATTGAAGACTTGATCACGTTGATAGGCCACCAGTCTAAATACCTCATGTTAAGATAGTCTGCAAGATAAATTCGTTACACAGTGTACTAGTGACCAAATACGATATATAGATAGGGTCAGTAAATTCCATATAGGGTGAAAGCTTATGGAATTTACTGACCCCATATATATCGTATAAGGTCACTAGCAAACTATGTAACTAATAGTATCATACAAACCAACCATTATTTCATAAAAATATCATCTAGTAATGCGACGCTAAATTTATCAAACAGTCTGGTTTCTACATACTAATTTAGTTGCGTTTATAGTCTTCAGTAATTTGCTGTCAACTCCATGTCCGTATGTTATATTATTAATATTGTGTTAGTCTAACTTTTTTTGGTGATTATCTCAGCCTTCTGGTGTCCTATGGGAGTTTTAAATTATATGTTTTCTTACAAACGTGTCTGATGTATATAATACCTACCATAACTGTCAGAAACTTAAAATACTGTATCTGATGAAATATAAATGATACAGCCAAATATACAACAAATTCGTATATAAATAAATATATTCAATAAAAACGTAAAGTTTAAATATTGGAAAGAAATGTAAAAAGTTTGTTTCGTTCTAATTTTTCAACTTAGGTAAATCGATAAATATTCTTAATTTACAAACCCTACATAAAAAACAAAAACTGAGAAAAACAACCTCCACAACTCCCCGAACACCAAAAAAAAATACACGGATGGAAATATCAAGGGCTCTGATTTGGTAAGCAGATCATGAGTTACATGTGAAACCCATGGTTTTGCTTATAGTAAATACATATTTGGTGATAATTCTCATTCGGTGATGCCAAATTCAAGGATAAGACAACGGGATTGCGTTTACGACCATTTAAACACGTGGTCATCTGTGAAAGGCAACATGTTTTAGGACACAATTGAAATAAAATAACTATAAATTGTCTCTGTTCGTTTATTATGTTAAACAAAAAGAGCCAAGGACACATTTTTTTTATCTTATTTTGTTTTGTTCTCTCTCTCTCGTGATGTTGGTGGTAGGAGTACATTCGATATTTCGGTATTCCAACGATTTATCTGATGCTTTTGTTACACGCTAATAGTTCTTAAAATAACAAAATTTTCTAACAAAACTAGATATAAATTTTAAACTGTTTTCAGAATAGATATGGTTTGTGTTCATTTTGCTTCACACGATTAGGGTTCATTTGATCTTCAAAATTGTTTGAATTGATAGTGCTGAATAATAACTATGCAGTTGACACGTGTATATAAAGTTAAACATAATAGACTAATTAAGCGATATGTGTTTGTTCATAAAGGTAAAATTTAGCCAAGTCATGATATAAAAATAATTGAATAAAAAGGTTTGAGTTATGAAAATATTAAAGTCATTACAATCTATAGCGAGATTAGCATATTAACAGTATTAAAAAAATAAAAACTATTGGAATGTCATACTGACGAAAATGGAAATTGCAATTGAAAAAAAGATATAGTTTTTTTTAACTTGGAGTTTGATATTCTTCGCTTCTCGTGAGCTAGTGTTCACTATGTGGCCTCCTGTGAGAGAGGACAAGCATTGTAACATAAACTATTTTGCCATGTTTTTATATAATCTGTACACCTGTCAAGTTGGTTTTGATTGGTTTCGTCCGTATTAAATCTTCTAGATTTAGGATTTTGAATCTTTTTTCTTCATCTTGGTTTTAATTTGTGTCATTCAAATAATGTCTTCTTCATTTCGGTTTTTCTATCCCTATTTTGTTATGTTCTATCAATTTTCATAGTGCGAGAACAATTAGTAAATGAACAGGTCTCTGACTATGAGAAAAATATATATCTTTTAACGATCAATTATCATGTGATGATAGCTATCAATCATTTGTACTAATGACATCATTCTATTTCGAATAAATATGTAGATTATGGCAACAGTAGTTTACCGATGTTCAATTCTCGTAAATTGATTAAAAAATGGATATTACCAAGGTAAAACTAACGTATTCATGCATATAGAACACGTAAATAAGAAAAGAGAAAAATGTTGGGAATTATAAAATTATAACATTTTCATATGTCTGAACTGTTTTCTTCAAACTAGATTTTAAGCAAGAAGCAGAATATTCATTGTAAATAAATTATCAAACTTATTTCGATTGAAAAGATAGGGTGCTGATTCCGAAATCAAAGTCATCGCATTCTTTGTATTGTTCCGATAAAGGAATCATTTTTTCACATCTATTACTAATGCAGTTTGGACTTATTGTACTGCTGTTGCGTTGCATTTAAACCACGACTGACGTAAAACAAAAATGTATAGACGATTTGTGGAACACTACTCAGACCCCAGAATATATCGTTGGCTATTTGGGACTCGATCTTACACAAATTATGTATCAAATAAACGAAAGGTTATCCATAACTATCGAAAAAGTATATAGAGCATTTGAAATATGAGTTAAACCTCTTATATTGCACACATTGAAGGGCTTATCACATAAAGGTCTGTTGCTAGACAAAATTTGGCAAGATGTATGAGAAAATGAACTATAGCCAGAAGCAAACGAACAGATGTAAACATATGTTTTGGTCTTTGATGTTACCGATTTTAATTACTCTGGTTTTAAATAAAGTTTTTTCACTGGTGTTTTTAAGTGATCTTAATCTGCACTATAATCCAATTACAGATATGCATGCATTAAAACTATAAGTTCTGAAATGTATATCGCATGTGCTCGGTTGTAAAGGACGAATGATTTAAGAATTATAATAATAATGTAACCAAATATGACATTTGATAAAGTTCCATATGACACTAAGACAAGGTGTATGCATACATTTATCTAACAATACCACTTTTTATCAAAAGTGTTTAAGCGTGTAACTTAAAACCTAATGAGCCTTTTGATTAATAAGCAATATATCTGGACTGAAACTGTTCATACGTCAGTTATATATAATTCTAAACAATTACATAATACGTGGAACAAATAATATAAAAAATCTTGAACAAAAGAAGTTAGTAACAATTTGTTGATACAATTTTTCGATTATATGATATTTTCACAAATCCTGTAATTACTAGTAAGTAAAAAGTATAATGGAAAAGTAAAAAAAATCACAAAAGCTCTATGTTCAAAATAATGAATAATTACAGATATCACAAATCATAACAAAGAAATCCCTAAACCATTCTAATGAAAAGCAATACGAAAGAAAAAAACAAAAACAAAAATATTAAAAAACAAACAAAACAAAATCAAAGCAGTGACACAAAAAACGTATGTCGGAAATTATTATCACCAAATATTTTTCTTACTTTTAAAATCCGGGATATTTTACCCTCCACAAAATAACAAGGACTCTTACTATAGTAAAAGACCAAAATATTTGCATTACTCCTTGCATTATATATGTAGTAGATAACTTATAAGAGAAGTAGTGCATTCGTAAACGATTATCAATGAGCGACTTTGGTTGCAAGTTGCTTATAATTTCCGAATCCACTACTTTTACTAAATTCTCTAACTTAACACATTTTGTGTAAAACGATCGTTTGAACATTAACCAAGGGAAGTACCTTAAGATAATTTCATTGTTTTTCTATTTATTCATTTATGCTCAGAAATGATTGTATCCATAAACTCATAATAGATACCAGGATTAAAATTTTGTACGCTAGACGCGAGTTTCATCTACAAAAGACTCATCAGTGACGCTCAAATAAAAAAAAACCGTTAAATTCGAAGTTGAAGAGTATTGAGGATCCAAAATTCCGAAAGGTTTTGCCAAATACAGCTAAGTTAATCTATTCCTGGGTCTGAAAATCCTTAGTATTTCGAAAGTTTTGTAAACAGGTAATTTATAATTATGACCATATCAATTATAATTCATGTTAACAGAAAAGTCCTGACTTCGGTTCATATATTTAGGTATCGATAGAACTATCAATGTTTAAAGTACACGGATGACCCTATACCTGAAATTTAAAAAAAAATTGTTCAACACAAACCAAAACAAAAACTGGGAGTGAACCATGATGCTTCGGAAGGGTAAACAGTTTCTACTCCACTAGTGGCATCCATCATGTGGTTCATAGCTCATAGCATGTAAGTCCGACTTGCTGCTGTCACAATCAAGATTAATAGGACGGGATTGTGGCTTCGACAAAAAATGGTGGAACACATAACGTGTTCATCTGTGCCACCGACATTCCATACTGGTCATTTTAATCACGAGGGTATCCGTCATACGCTTGAAGGAACGACTTTGACTATTATTATAAGGTTCATCATTTTACACGTGATCAGAAACCCTCTACCAAGGAAATCATGATAGAAATCATGATAGGAACACAAACCCTTAAATACCGGGTGGAAAAATACCCATATGCAGGCCTTGATACAAATTTGTTAAGGTTCCGTAATTTGTAGTTCATGCTGAGTGACAGGACTTTCAATCTAGATAATTCAGTTTTTTTGGCTATTAGGTGTTTTTCTCAATCACATCTCAAATATCAAATGTTCTGACTGGTGTATTTTTTTAAATACAAGCTCTCCTTCATTGATGACTTTGAAAAAATAAAACGGCTATATCCAACATTTTGTCAAAAAAGAATTGCAAAAATATTTGTCTCCATCTTATCTACTTATCGAACATTTCAAATGATCTGTGAACTGTAACAAACGGTATATTTAATGTTTTGAGAGTTTTATTTTTGAATTGAATTTACATGGAAAAGCAAAGACTTTATACAATATATTTAATGATACAGTAATTGTAAGAATGCCTATTCGACAAACGTCTTTTTTTCTGTGGTAAAATAAGCGGAATGAAATATGTGCTAGAAGGTGTGTTTACAACGCCTTAACTGCTATAATTCATCATTATTGTTGTATGTACACTTTAGTGGTATATCAATCCTATGTAAGCCCTGTCCAAGATTACAGCAACTTTTGATCATTCTGCAGGTGCGATTTCACGATTTCTTTTCAGTTTTATTATAACCTGATCAAGGAATTTACAGAAAGCATTATCTTCGTTCTGATCAGTACGATTTGGTGCATTTTGGATGTTTTCGGAAATTGTTATCATTTCAAGGCTTTCTCTTGTTATAGTAGAAACTGATGACGGAATTCGACTTGTACGTCTAGACGAAAATATGATGTTGGACTCATTTCTGTTGTTGATATCTATATTGTGTTCCACAAAATCTGCACCCAATTCTTCTTCTTCTAGAGACAGTCGAATACCAAAAGTCTTCTTTAATAACTAAAATATAAGGGCATATTTATTTGTTAGTAGGAGAGGGAATCAAGCGATGGTTAAATGAACTTGTTGAATATATCAAAATATCATGAGCAACTCATGTCGTGTTTATCACAAAATAATTAAATTATTTTAGCCAATATAGGATTTGTATATTAAAAATTATGTTGCTTGAATTTTTTCCAATATCTTTTACTTATACTTATAACTATGTCTATTCTTAGCATTTAGCATGGCTTATTCCAAACGTGTGAGTTCTTCTCATAATATCATCGCTTAGTTATTTGGGATTAATTTCTTCTCAGATATATTATTACTTACCCATAATATAAGGAAAGTTCCAAATGTTGACCATGCCATTATGGAAACGCATGTTAACGCCTGTACACCTAATAAATAGAAGCCTCCACCGTGAACTAGACCGTTTCTTCCCGTTGTCAAATTCTGAAATTTATCCTTCTGTGCAAATATACCAACAGCTAGCATACCCTGCCAAAAAGACAAATGTAAATTCAGGATAGGAGTAGCATTTATTGGATTTTATAAGAAATCAGTGGTAATTTTTATCGAAATCTATCATAATAGAAATGAAAGGCTATAGGGTATACATCCATGACACAAAATCAGTATATGCACAGCAAAAAGTAAAAAAAAAGCAAAGGAACATCGCTTTTATTGCTGTTCTTCATCTTAAAGCTACAGTGAGGCCTTCAACACGGAGCAAACAAAAATTATCTATCTAAGATATGAATATATAAAACTGGTCTGAAATTTTGTTGCAGAATGTAACAATAGTAACCTTATTTAGAAAATCACAAAAGATGTTTGCCCCCAATGAGACCATAAGATAAGGAAACTATTTGCCCCCGAATCCGAAAAATAGTTATATAATTTATCTAGTTATATCCTTCTGTTGTTTAAAAGACATTATTATGTCCATGGAAATGTTATCATCAATATCGTACCTCAATGGTCTGTCATAATAAGTCTTCATATATATATATATATTTTTAAAATTGGTCATACTCGTTTACATTAGCCATCAAACTTATCGCCATTTGCGAAAAAATTAAAAACACTACCGATGTATCCCTATTTAAGGTTGAGTAATGTATAATAGAAATATGGTATCATCGAATACTCCAATCCAGTAGTATGGAACACATGTTAAAGGGCTGTCCGTTTGGCTATACGGGTTGTATAAATACGTAGCCACGTGCGATTAAAATGAGGATGTTAAATCCGACGGCTCGTGTAAGTAGAGACTTCTATGCTCGCTAAGGAACACTCCTAACAACTTATTTAGGGTTCGCAGTTGGCCTGTTGCAAAACAACATTTCTGTTCCTAAAAATACCATCTTTTAACATTAGCAATCTCTAAACTATCAGTCACTTATTCACTTTACAGAACCTACTTCATGAATTTATAATAATTTGTTTTCGTCTAAATTTGAAAGAAACATTTCCAAATGAACATTAAGTAAACAACAATAAAACAGTCTTAATTCCATCTTTTCATTAAAAGTCTGATATGAACAACAATCCTAAAAAGATTCTTGTCAACAAATTAAAAATGTCTTGTACAACGATAATGATGTGAGTTCTATATTTTCTTTTTTGTAGATGTGACTGTTTGCCATATATAATTGTAAAGTGAAGAGATCATGTCAATTATGCACACTTCGACATGTAAATGACGGTTTATTGACTTCAAAATGACATTTTCACCGTGTCATCACTTCAGTAGTTGGTGCTTCAGTAGTGACATGATTTTTAACATGTCTTCTAAAATTCACCGTTGATAGATTAAGAATTTATTAAGAAACTAAAGTTCCAGCTTCCACAAGCAAAGTTGTCGTTAGGTGATTTAGCTATTTGTTTTAAATCTATTTTATTCCTATTGCTCCTAACGTGTTTATGTATTGATACATCCTTTGCTTTCAAATGTTTAGGTTTGAGGGTTCCTGATGAACAGGTAAGCACTTTGGACGCACAAAATTTATAAGTTATACTCTATAATGTCCTGGCCACCGTTTCACAAAGCCTTCTTAACTTACGATCATAATATCATTTTACGATCCGTTTACGTGTGGTTCTACGTTCCCGTTACGTGTGTTTCACAAAGGCATCGTAAGGGACTACTAAGTTGATCGCAAGATACGCACTGTGTATCATCGTAAGTGTATCGTAAAACGGAACTCTGTAAACGGGAGGTGTGAATCGTAGTTTATTTACATCGGAATATGGCACACTCTTCTTTCACAGATCGATGAGTCGAGCATGCCTGTGGGATCGGATGTGAAAATGTTTGCAGAGAAATTCCTTCAACATCATTGAAATTGTTTTGCCAAATTGGTTTCATGGATAAATATTGTTATCCTTACATCTTATATTTTATGTTTTGGATTATATTTTTTTGTTGAGGAAAGTTTCTGCAGATATTTTCAGGTTTGTTTGAGACATGTGGGAAACTATCAGACCAATCTATTTGATGTCTGAGGGTTTTAGCTGTTGTTCCCCTAATGGATCGGTAGTTTCTTTCCGAGATGCTTTATCGTAGGATTTTCGGCTTTCCTCTACCAGGAATACACCTGGGCATTTAGCGGTATCGGTTTGGAATCCAAGTATGTTCTTTCCGGTTTCTCGTTCGTTGCCTTGGCATTTGTGCGGCATCCGGGGTGACCTTATCCTTTATTTTGTATATAATTGTTTTTATACTTTTAATTTTTATATTTTTGAGAACGAGCGAATCAGGTGAGTGGGTGTGTTCGTATGTTTTTCATTTGTAGACGAAACACAAGCCTTGTATCTTTGATGGGTTACTTCCTTTGATATTCAATTATAATACTTTTTTCTTTGTATCGGAAATTTGAAATAATAGGAGAGTGACGAGACGTGTTTATATCTGATCAAAGGATTAAACGAAATTTTTAACAATTATTTGATAATGTCTAAAGTTATTATAGTACTGCAATTTTAGAGGAGATATGATTGATTGATTGCTGTTTTCTGAACGTACAGTGGCAAATATTTCAAGTAGATTTATGACCAAGAGAAGAATTTTCAAACAAGCAATAAGAAGTTGCATGCGTTGTCGTTGAAAAAGAATTTAAAAAAAGTCCGATAAAAATAAACAAAACCAGTGTATATAATGTGCGAATCCTGAAATACCACTTTCACTGTATCCGTTATGAATTTCTAATGTAGAATGATTAATAAACAGACGACAAATTCATGATTTTTGAATAGATTCAGAAATAACTGTTTTTATAAATTCATGATATAGGTATGAGATGCGGACGGGTTTTCATCGCGCCTACAGCCATCCAGGTGTAAAATTGCTACACAAATAGATAAATATTAAGAATAGTTCACGAACAGAGCGTTCAAGAGAATTAAAAGCAGCAGTTAAGTTTCATTGGCAGAAAAATGTACCTTTTAACATAATCATTAATGTTGTATAACTCAAAACAGGTTTTTTATTCAGCTTGTTGATATTGAATTAAATTCCACTATGCTGTTTTCGTTATGCGATTCATGTTTACTGTCGAATAATGATACTAGACTTTCATTTTCACTGTAGGGGCGATTCATTTCTATTGTACATGCGATGCATTTTCACGGTAGGAAATTAATTAGTTTTCATCATATAACGTCTTAATTCAGCCCACTCTCTAACAAAATTTATACAGTCAGAAGGATTGATTATATGTGACCCGCCACGACATTTCCAGGCTTATGGAGGTAGAACATCATTGTGAGAAAAACGCCGTTAACTATATGTGACTAGCCACTTCCAGGCTTGTGAGGGTACATTGTCTAAAATTTGCTTTTTGTATATTTATCTAGAATATTCTGAAGCAAATATAACTCTGTCATGCTATTATGACCTATTTTTTGTAATAACAATGAAACGAGTCATTCATTATCGAAGACACTAATTTATAAAATACAAAATTATTGTATTCCATTGGCGCTTAGTAATCTTCAACAGCGTATTTGAATAAAAATTTCAAACGAATTAAATTTACAACATTACAAACAGTTCTTAGCTCTATTTTAGAAAATGTAATTTAAACTTGTTAAAATGAAGTTAGTATAAAATTTGTCAAAGAAAGCTTTTAGAATTCCTTTTTTTTAATTTGTCTTTTAACTTAGATTTATGATGTCTCTATACATAGTATGCGACGCGTAGCAGTTTATAAGTAGTTGTTCTCATATATGCATTTGATACGGTGCATTTATTATGGACATATTTTAGACTCCATTTATGAAAATCTATAGAACAGAGAATTTTGATTTTTTGTATCAATTTAAAATGAAGATTCAAATATTTATATGTCGTTGATACAGACAAAAAGATCTATCATGTCAAAATCATGATACAACAGGAAATTTTCATATGCACGGTCTGAACACAAGAATTTACAGAATAAGCATATTTCTTACTGAATAGAGAAAAATGGCTAACAGAATTACAGAATACAGAAATGTAAAACCCCCCACCCCCTTTCCCCCCCTAATCCAGACCCTCATATATCATTGTGACGGATAGTTTTGTTTGTTCTTTTTAACTGTTTTTGTTTTCGAAAAGAATATTTGTATAAGGTGTTGTTAATAAATGTAACGGACAATATATACCATGCCCTCTCAACCGACGTCGTAATTTCATTTTTAATGAAAGAAAGTATTTAAAAGCTTCTCTCCCTGTGCAATATGATTTATCATACTCATTAGGCAGAGCAATTTTTATGACTACTTGCATAATTGTTTAATCATATTAAATTGTGTATCAAATTTATATTAATAATAAAAGTTTCAGATCTTTAATATTGAAAACGGGTTAAAATTATTTACTTGCATTAATATTGATATAAAAACATCCAGCTCGTTTTTTTTGTGTTTTTTTGTAGATCTAAGAAAAAAGCAACTCTGTTACACTGAAACAATTGACTAATTAAAACTGTCACATGGTGTCTTCTTATATCGTCCAAATTACAATGTAAGTTCTTGAAATATTTAGTCTTGCTTGGTCTTCTATCCGTTAACGGGAATTACAGGTTTACGAAGAAAACATTATGACGGCCGGTACGATCACAATCGTTGTGCAATATGTACTAAACTTTATAAAATTTAAAAATATAGATAATAAAGAAATATAAAAATCTCAGATATAAGTATAACAAGCTACGGGTATGTAACTCGAAGTCGTTAGTTTTGCTTTGTTACGGTGGGACAAATCAGCGTCATTAAATGGGCGCTTTACCGGAGAACCAGTGAGTAGCGCAAGCTAACAAAACCTGCGTTTCAGGAGTAAGTGCATGGGACCTATTTGTATCATGTTTTATATCTGGTTCTATTGCCAATGTTATTTCATTGATACTGTGTCTATCCAGTCTGTATAATATCCATTTCATTTTCAAAATGATCAAATGAAGAAAGTGTGGTTCTAATATTGAAGATTCTTCTTCGTCTTCTAACATTTGCGGCATCTTGATCGAGAATAAAGACATCTTAGATATGGTTTAATTCATATTCGCGGAAAAACTACGATCGAGATACGACTGGGTATACATTTTTGTAGCTGTAGTAAGTTACGCCAGGATTTACGTATTATTTACGCTCATCTTAACTTACGACGGCTTTGTGAAACGGCTGTAAAACCTACGATTTATTTACGATGAGCGTACGATGACACGTAGACTTACGAAGGCTTTGTGAAACGGTACCCAAACTTTTTCCTCCAATTAATCTGTCAATGAAATTAACATAAATTTCTAAAAGATGAAATAATGTCACTATCTCTGCAATTTCAAGGGTCTAACAATTGCTTTTGTCGCACTCCGTAATTCTTTATTTTATGGTGTACTCAAAATTTTTATTCATTCACTTCATTATAAAACTATCTTAGACTGTTTTTCGAATTATTATTTGAATGTCACTTCTCACGCTATAAATAACAAGATAACTTTTTTGAAGAGGGTTTTTGTTTTATTTTTATTTTATTTTGTAAAATGTCTTCGTCACTAGGTATAAGGGAGGTAAACAATTCATTAAACATATCCATTGCCGTTGCAAATTGATATTGATTGACAGTATCCTTTTAATAAAAGGGAAGTTGGGGATTAAAAGAAAATAGTTAACCTAACATAATATCATCAGACAGGCTCAGATCAACTCATTTTCAAATTGAAAAGTTGAGACAACAATAGTTTACCGATGTTCAAATCTCATGAATCGACGAAGACAAATCAAGGTAACAAACACACCCTGAGGGTATCGTAGGGTAAGCGACTTCTCCATGCATAAACCGGCCACACGAACAGTCAAAAGTAAAAAATAAAAATACCGAACTCCAAGGAAAATTCAAAACGGAAAGTCCATTATCAAATGGCAAAATCAAAAGCTCAAACAAATTAAAAGAATGGAAAACAATTGTCACATTTCTGACTTGGTACATGCATTTCCTTATGTCGAAAATGTCACAATCGGGAATATAAAACAATGGGTAAAATTACCGATTAGACGACTGTTCTCGTATGTGAACGATCTATGACTGAGAAAAATGTCGACAGTGAGTTGAGACACAGACATATCGTATCGGTTATTATCTATTTATAAGACCGGACTTAAATCATACCACATCTTCTTTTTATAATTACCTGTATATTCTACTTCAATATCATTTATCTTGACCCAAGCATACAATGTACTTTGAAAGGAAAAACTATACCATATATCATTCTTTTTCATTGAACCAATGAAACTCTCAGATGTATAAATTCAAAGGAAATATCAAAGTAACATTGTTTTTATTGAAAAGAATTCTTTGCGCATATGTTCACAACTTACACATTTTAGGGTCTTAAAGTCTATTTAAGCAAAAAGTGAAGTGAATACAAACCCACAATCCACATACGCCGTGGACAGAAATTGCACCAACAGGGTCATCAAGTTTCATCTTATCAAGAAGTCTTGCTCCAAATACACTTAAAATACTGCCAATAGCACCCGTTATCACAGCTTCCCACGGTCTTATTACTGCACAGCTTGCTGTTACACCAACCATCCCTCCTAATACACTGTTAACTATTGTTGATACATCATATTTACCCTTGTACAAAATTACACTGAAATTAATAAAAAAGAGTTCACTTTTTTCCACATGACGAAAAAAAAAAATAACTAGAATATCATACTTTCGTTATGTGTAATTGAAGTGGTCAAACGCTCAGAATGAATGTAATATTACATGAAGAAAATGGGACGTGGACAGTTATCATATTTTGTGTTTTCTGTACTTTTATTGCTTTTCAACATGTGCAACTACGCAATTGATCCCCGATGAGGCATACAGATATATACTAAAGCGTTTAGTGTACTAAATTATTAGCCCGGTATCTTTGATGGTTTTTTTTTAGAATGAAAAACAAGACAAAAATGATTATAACCTCAAAACGATACCAGCAAATCCTGCTCCTACAGATCCATTCATGGTTATAACAGCTGATCTAAAATGAAAAAAAAATTTATATAATAAGCCACACGTCAAATGACACATGTGATAAGCCAAACAAAAAAAGATGCATGTAGTTATTGTAGTAAGCCACGCAGAATAATACTAGTAATATACATTTATGAATTTTATCATAGGTTTATATCCTAACTATTGGACCGTGAAAATGGAATCTCTGGTATTGTAACCTTTTTCAAGATCTATTTTTTTTATATTATTCTTTTTATGATGGACATTATTATAAGTATTCTTATACAGCAACAAATATGAAAAAATGCTTCTTTTATAACATGTTTTGTGTCTTAAACCTTTTTTAAATTCTAGAATATTTTTATTTCTAAATCCAAACTTTAATCGAATCTTGTTGTCACCAGAGAAAAATGATAATTCAGCTCTTCGACGTCGGAAAATGCGCAAACTTAAAAGGGTATAATTTTACTAGGTGTATATTCCCAAACAGCTAGTTTGCCCACCTGCAATTTGCCCGAAAAAAAAAGCAGTTATTTTCATTGATAAAAAACATGCTGTAATGTTTTTTTTTATTCTATTAGCTGTTATTATAGCTATCATAGCTTAAATGATATATGCCTATTTCCATATCTGTCCTGTTAGTATCCCTCTATTGATATCTACTCTCACGCTAAAGCCCTCATGTATATATTAAGATATGAGGTAATACCAGGAAAAATTTGGAAAAAATCATGTATTTATCCATTGAGCACTTATTCATGTGCATCATTAATGGTGAATATTAACAAATTTTAGGAATTATTGAGGAACTAGGGATTCCAATTCTCTCAGGCAAAGTATATCTTAAATGGATTTAGCTATTATTTTAGGTCCCTTTTGGTCATATAGCTATTCACTTAGTTCGGTCTTGATATATTCTCGGCTTTGAAACTTAATGATGATGGTAACTCCAGAAAAGCTTCGCATGCGTATTCTTTATAAAGTGTTGTTTTTATTCTTTATAGTACTGGGACGATTCCGCTGCTGATAGACCATAAGAACCCGATGGTATCATTAGATCAGTAGTGAGTGCTTCGGCACTGACATGATATATTACAAACCTGTTTAAATTGTCCGTTCAAAAGTCTAGAAATTATCGAGTAACTAAAGTTTCCACTCCCTCAGGAAAATTTGACCTTAAACGGATTTGACTATTATTTTAGGTCCCTTTTGGTCATATATCTATTCAAATGTTTCTTATATATCATTGGCTCTCATTTGTTTGGCTTTGAGTGTACCTGCTAAAGGTAAATAAATCAAAGTAGTGAAGTACTGAACATCGAATGACCGCAAGTTCTTGTGAATGGTCAAAAGCACTTGTCTCAGAAAAAAGTCACATCTCTATACCTGAAACTGAGGTTAATGTACAGAGATATATATTTTCTGAGACAAGTTCGTGCGTGGATGATGAATAAATGACAGGAAATTCAACCTCTCCGTAATAACTATTATATTGTAGTGATACAAATCAGTATACACTGGTTTGTTGTTATATATTATATTAATATAACAGTTACATGTATATATAATTTTCATCCGTTTGTACATCATTCTATTCTACTATTCTAATAATAGTGCAGTGCAAGTGCATGGTGGACACTCTTCTGTAAATATTCGATTTTTCTAAAAGATCGGATATGAGTAGGTATTCATATTTTCCCGCAAAAACAAACTTCCATGCAGAGTTACCAGTCCTTGCGGGGATTGCCGCAAAACGTTCTTGAGATATTCTTCCGCATGCGTTAACACAATTTTTCGGTACGTGTGCAAAGATATTATCAATGATTTTTTACTTATACATATATATCTAACGACAAAACATGTTCATATTATCAAGTAAATTTATGTTCTAAACAAAAATGTTTTTATCAGTATTCATTGAAGAAATGTATTTATAACAGACGATAAGGAATGTTACTTTTGCACTCCTTAATGTCTGCGTATTTATCATGTTTATAGATCGGTTACAAACCCAAAACGAAAGATACGTAATGGAAATCTAGGCGATAGCAATACATCGGAATGCCCTCACGGTCATCGCGATGTAAAAAGCGCTTGGTACTTATATAATTTACATTTATTTTCACTTTTTTTTCATTCAATCAAAATTAAGTCTTTCTTATTTCAAACAGCTATAGACAAACACCAACAGAGTGGATGTTAATTTTATCTTCAGTAAATCACGTTTCATTTATGAATATTTCGTTCTTTTTTTATAATAGTTTATATTGATATTTGTATATACGTACTTGGCAGCTAGCTTCCATTTACCTCCAGATATTCCGAAAGTACTTCCACAATTAAACCCAAGCCATCCCCACCTGTAAAATTAATCAGTCAGGTTAGAAGGTATAGGAAAATGCAGTTAGATCGTTTTTTTTGTCTTTTTTTTAACCTGATAATTTCATTTACATTGGTTTACATATTTTCAATATATTTCAGCTAGAAACTGAAAATGTACACCAACTAGAAATAATTGAGTTGAACAATTAATAGTAGGGTGTCCAGTCAACGAATTTGATCGATTTGGGTTAACGGAATAACACACGGCTGTATTTGATATCATTGGAAAGAGGAGAACAAGCCTCATCGAAATATTGATGTCGTCGTTGTCTACAGTGGTCACGATTTTCTTAAATTTGGGTCAAAGGTCAAAGCTAAAATTTCAAGGGAAAACGCAGTCACATTTAGACAGCTGGCCGCCCCTACTTATATGCGTTTATAGAAAAATAAGTTAGAATAAGTCAAAGGATTATAACTATTGTTTCTATATTAGGACTAATTTGATATTTATGTTGCCAAATACGGTTCGAGATTGACATTTGTAATTATAGGGTGCACATTTACAATTTTAATTCAGCTGTTAAATAACAGTGACCTTGACCTATTAAAATTTATAAATTAGGAATTTTTACATAAGATTCGTTACAAGTGATCTCTAGAGATGTTTTTTAGATACTAACATTTTAAAGCTGCCCTCCCAAAATTGATATTTTCCGTCTTTTGATAGGTGTTCATAATGATTTTCTCGGTAAATATCAAATTTTATTTTGGTGAGTGTGGAAGCACATAAAATTGTACTTAGTTCCAAAACTGGTGTAATAATAACGCAGAATGGATTGAATTAGCAGGTTTGGGTTTATCTTTGCTTTATAGAAATAAGAAAGACTGCAAACGGTGAAAAGGGGGGAGGGTTTCTGTTAAAGTATATATGAAAACAAAATGACAATTAGAAACAGGTTAATCACTACATTTTACACACTTATATGCCTTATTGAGCATAAATTGGCCTACAATTGACATGAAGTCAAAGATTATCTACAAAAAGAGGGTTGTAAACAACATCAATCTTACTAATAAAAATATAGATCTCTGATTTCTTTATCCTCATATGAGCTTATATATACGAGCACGCGAGTTAACATAGATCAGAATTTTAATCAGATTGAAACGACATAGAAATATTGCTGGAGCTAGCAGTAGCTATTACGTTTCATTATCTACTGTTTAGTAGAAAGCCCCCCGACCAGGTTTAGGTAAGAGAGCTAATTTCAGTTGTTCTTGTTTAAATTGCATTCGAAGGAAGTCGCAGAATGCGAGTCATACAGCATTCAATATGATGGTGGCGGCGGCAACACCGTAAACTATTTCTATATCTTTATATTTCAGATGGTAGAGGAATCGGATAATTCATACTTTGTATATAGATCCATTGTGTTACAAAGTTCCCGTCTGTCATATAATCATTGTCCTTGACCTCATTTTCATGGTTTAGTGACTGCTAAAAGACCATATAGCTTTTTTTCGTCATGTGAATGTCTCACTTGTGAGTTTGAATGACCCTAATGTATCCTTCGAATCGAGGATAACTATATTTGGTTACTAATATATGATATCCTTGCAAGGTCTACATATCGGTCATACATGGTTCACCTAACCTCGACGTCATTTCATGGATCAGTGAACAAGGTTAAGTTTCAGTGGTCAAGTCCTTATCTCAGATACTATAAGTAGTGGGTCAAATACATTTGGTGTGTGTAATGGTAGCAAAGTGTACATGTCTTTGTGGCAGAGTTCATCTGACCTTACCTCATTTACATGGAGCATTGATAAATAAATGTTAATTGTGTGTAATACTTGTATAATATAAAAATAAGGAGATGTAGAAGTAAGCAGTTAAAGGCAACCGTACGGCCTTCAACAATGAGAAAAACACATACCGTATGGTCGGCTACAAAAGGCCCCGATATAAAATATTGAAACAATTCATTTGAGAAAACTAACGGCCTAATTTATAACAAAACAATTAACCAAAAAAAAACCAGACTTAAACCGACGACAACCACTCAAATACCGGCTCGATCCCGACTTGGGACAGGCATATAAAGAATGAATAATCCTTTTCTCTAAGAATTTCGACATAATTCAGTCAGTTAGTAATACATGCTGCACCAGTAGAATCCTAGTTTTTACTGTAATTTTGTTTATGATCATACTTTTCTCAGACTATTAATTGATGACGTCCTTTCATTAGCTTTCAGTAAGGGGACGACCATTTGATTTCAAAAGGAGGGAAGGGAGGAGGATTTTGAAAATCAATAATTTGGCCTGGTATGAACTGAAAATAAATGACTTTGCACAAGACCAGATGAAAATGAATACTCTGCAACATGAAATACAGGAAAGTTCAGGATATAAATGTGTACAAAAGTGAAAATAAATTTTGGAGCAGCAAAGCCGCGGAAAAAATAAGCATGCGCAGCAACAAATGAAAAAAACAAGCAACCCGGAAAAATATTTACTGCTGCCAGCTTCGCACATATAGGTCATTGGCTTCAGCATGTTCAGTGGTTTGCTCGGACAAACTTATTGCCAATTCAGCTTTGAAATTATTGCAGTTGTGTCTGCTGGTGTATAATTTAAAGCACGAACGGTGATAAATTTTTGTTGTCGTTCACACCGATGGGGATTTAGGTCCAAAACATCATGCAAGACCATAACATAGGCTTGATGTGCCATATTCCGGGTGTGAAACGAAACCGACCAATTTGATTCTCATACTACAATTATAACAAAAATATCTATTCAGAGTTTAAAGTTTTGAAAAACACAGACAAAACATATTCCTCAGAAGAAAATAACAATTTACAAAATTAGCTGGCTATTCAAATCAAATAAATCAACCACACAACAAGCAAAAATGAGAAATGTATTGAGTGACCACTGTCCTTGTTAATGACCTAATAGTGTAAGTAACAAAATGATAATCCGTGTTTAATCAATGCCAAAATGTTGACTTAATTTGTGTTTTTAATTGCAAATTTCTTCAAAACTACAATCATTTCACGCATGAAATTTTGGCATTGATTAAACACCGTAAAAGTAAAAACGGTGGAAGACAAAAGATAAACAAAGGTTTAATGGTATAATTATATATCTTACACCGTTTCATAATATTGAAAATTTCTATAAGAATGCAAATATCTTTGTGTGTTATACACGTTTATTTGTAACAATTCAATGACGCAAGCTGCAATATTAAAACCCATACTTTAGAAAAGTCATATAGAAATATACGAACACTTTCTTTATGTGATATCATGCCAAGGCTCTATTATTTGTCTTTCAAAATGGGAAGGATATGTACTCCAGTGCCAATATCAAAGAATCATTTTGACTTTATATGGAAATAAATTATGACTGTACATATCGGAAATTCTTTAATGTTCGCTTCTAAAGTCGTCGACAAAATGCAACAAAGTTATCAAAGGACAATAGAAAAAAAAATAAAAAAATTTAAAGACTCTATCTTATTGCTTTAAAATAGTAAAAAATATCGTGATGATACACGTTATAATTTTGCTTTCGATGAAAATGTAGTAAATTTCGGGTAATATTTTAGTCTTACTAAAATGCTGAAATAATTATACTAAAATCACTTAAATACTTTCCGCTTTTGTTATATGATATATTTAATGTATAAACTATATATTATAAGTACTATTTAAACTACAAACAAAGAGCGTAAGAATTTCATTTTTCATGTTAAAGATTCCACGTACAATACGGTATCTGGGGGTACCCTGTAAAAACACGAAATTTAGAAAATCGTGACCATGGGAACTTACGACGACATGATTGTAAAATATAATGATTTTCCTATAATTTGCCAAAAAAATTAGCCGTGTGTTATCCGTGTTAGCCGTGTCTTAAACTCGTCAGGGGCGGATTCAGGCGGGGGCTTGGCGGGTGTGCACCCCCTAAAATTTGAAAAGCATGGATTGTCCTCATCTTAATAAAGAATATTTCGATAATTTTACTTCAAAAAAAATTTAAGTTTGCGCCCCCTAACCTAAAATACTGGATCCGCCCCTGTTCGTTAACTAGAGGACTTTTTGGACATTGGGCACCCTACTGTAACATTATCTGTAATTTTTTTCATTGTACCAGATGCGTATTTCGGATTCACCAAGTTCACTGTTCATTGAAATAAAATTTCAGAAAACCAAATAGCTCAAGATGAAAGCTATATTATTCGGATTGCACAGGTTATTATAGCATACGCATATCTACTCATACAAGTAAACATCTTCTTTGCGTTTATCTGCACATGTGTTTTGTATGCACCTTTGAATGTCAAATTCTCCCAACATAAGAATATTGTGGAATTATATGCATGCTAGGTAATATATAACAAATTGCATGGAATTCTATTGCGCTTGAAATGTTCATGCTATGTTCTTAAATGCAAAAACGTAACCAAATGGAAGTGCTACCCTGTTGTGTGATATTTATATTTCAACCACCCAGACCTTTTTGTGTTTCGTGTGGTAAATAAATACTGCTAATTAACAAATTTGTTTTCCCATACGGTTCTAATGTCGTTAGAATTGTCTCCCTTTGCGCAGTCATATGTTATTTTTATAAAGCCCGTGTGCTTAATGCGTTATGCACAAATACGTAGAATAAAAATTTACTTCTTGTGACCAAACGAAAGTCAAGCATCTATCTTAAATTTGTCATTTAAAAGGTTGTAAAAGAACATATTTTATCTATAACACAGATATTGTTTCATTTTTTCGAGCTATCTCCGTATTAGGTGATAACACTCTCTGGGATCCGGTCTCTGGCTCCTTTAAGCAATGATTTTAGGCTACAGGCCATCATAAGGAACCATGAATTTGTTTCAGCATGCCCCTAAAATCTTAGAATGTTAATATTCAGCTATCCTAATGTATTACTCAGCCTAATGGTCCAAAAAGCATGACTATCACTAATTTTATATGACAGAAAATAGATGATACCGTTTTTAAAAGATTACTTAGAGATCATTTGAATTTCATATTCTAGTTCAAAGCAAAATGAGGAAAGTCCAACGACGAAATAAACATAATAAATGTCATCATTTATAAAGGAGTTTCACATTTTAAAAACCCCAATTAATCTGTATGTATGCGAGATAGAATCTTTTTAATTTTTAGATTTTTTTTCAATTTTCCTTTGATAACTTCATTGCATTTTGTCGACGACTTTAGAAGCGTACATTAAAGAATTTCCGATATGTAGAGTCATAATTGATTTCCATATCAAGTCATTCTTTGATATTGGCACTGGAGTACATATCCTTCCCATTTTGAAAGACAATTAATAGAGCCTTGGCATGATATCACATAAAGAAAGTGTATATTTCTATATGACTTTTCTAAAGTATGGGTTTTAATATTGCAGCTTGCGTCATTGAATTGTTACAAATAAACGTGTATAACACACAAAGATATTTGCATTCTTATAGAAATTTTCAATATTATGAAACGGTGTAAGATATATAATTATACCATTAAACCTTTCTTTATCTATTGTCTCCACCGTTTTTACTTTTAACTGTGTTGAAAGTAATGTATCTATGGTGAGTTTTGGTGAGTTTATTTATCATTGGTTATGTTTTAAATCATTCGATGAAATATTATTGATTATCCAGGAGAGAACAACCGCCCTTATTATAAAAATTTTATAATTTAAATAAAATATGTACCGAATAAACTATTAAATGGTAATTATCGCGACAAATTGTTTTGTTTAATAGAACAAAATAAACAACATCTAATTGGAACATCTGTACTATCAAGTATGTAGTTTTTTTCTTTCAAAAGTGTAAAAATGAATGATAAGATATTAATATAAAACGAACACTTAGGAATTGAATGCTTCTTTTTGTAAATTCATTGGGGTGTAAAAGCGTTGACCGAAGTACATTTTGTATGAAGCGCGGAAGCTGTCTATCCATATTTGCTTTCTATTTCGTTTATTGCTTTTTTACTTGAATCAGGCCGCTTGGTTTCTCGTTTGAATTGTTCTACATCATGTGTACATTTTGTCATGTCGGGGTCTTTTATAGCTGACTATACGGTATGGGATTTGCTTATTGTTGAAGACCGTATGGTGACCTGCAATTGCTTAAATCCACGTCATTTGATCTCCGATCATGTGGATAGTTGTCTCATTGGCAATAATACCACGTTTTCTTATTTTTATATTTAAAAAAAAAAGACTGGCATGAAACAAAATCATTTTTCGAGTTTTGTCCTATCTAATTTTTAAGTAATTTGCATCAACTATGTTGACATTTCTTGCAAATATTTTTTAAATGTTACTTTATCTTCTTACTTTTTTTAGCTTTAAAATACATGAAAAGCACGGTCAGAAGTTCAAACTACTAGTATATCACATATAGTCCGAGATTACTCTGACGTCCAACGGCTGTTTTGCCAGACAAGCTGGGGCCGTGGGACGGCCCCAGCTTGTCTGGCAAAACAGCCGTTGGACGTCAGAATAATCTCGGACTATATCACATATAAACTAGCTGGTCAAACAAAAGATAAACATAGATTCTTATGTTCCAAACGAGTAAACAAATTTGCCTTTCCGAGTAACATTATAAAAGAAATGAGTAGAAGAACAAAGATTCTGTACTAGTATATTTATGGGACATACAATCAGTGTATTAGTAAATTCAAAAAGGGGGAAGAAAGTCCATAAAACCTGACAAAACCAAACGCCTGACTATATCAACCAACGGAACGACTGAAAACAACTGTCATATTCCTGACTTTGAACAGGCATTTTCCGAAGAAAATGGTGGGTTTAGCCTAGTTTTATAGGTAGGTAAACCTCCCATGGCCACTTGTGTGACAAATGTTTATAATTCCGTTATATTTACAAAATTGTGTGGGCAACCCAAACAGACATAAGTGGTTAATGTAGGAAGAGAACTATGTGTTTTTTTTTAACTCTTTTAAATTTTTCAGTTATAAATTTTACAAGTATTGCTTACTATAAAATTACTTTATATCTATACTTCGTTTCAAGTTGTAAGCTTGTGCCTGAAACTAGTTTTTTCAATAATTGTTTTTAATAAATTCTCTTATAATGTTAATTTCGCCCTTAACTTTTTGTAATTTGATTAGTCCAATTCAAATATGATATTTAATTAACTAAGAAGGTGGCATTCATCGGTAACTTCGTGTGAAATTGTTACATTTTTGATGTAACAGATTATCTTTATACTGGAAAACATATAATAACATGAAAAAAAGTACTCACCATAGCATGAATAACCCTATTATTGTATTTACTGGATTTCCTAAGGTAGGGCGTTGTGCTCCATTTTCATATCTTCCTGTACGAGGTTGTAACAAAAAGGTAGCTACCAATGCAGCCGTTCCTCCACATAGATGTACAACTCCTGATCCTGCAATATCTACGCATCCTAATTTGTTTAAAAATCCATTTTTATCCCACACCCAATGCGCTGGTATACAGTAAACGTATGTGTTAAAGAAACTATATATCATGTAGGATGTTAATTTAGTTCGTTCAGCCATTGCACCGGACACAATAGTCGTTGCTGTGGTCGCAAAGGATAACTGAAAGACAAATGTTGCGAATAACTGACCCATATCCGGGCCATTGGAGTCAACGAAAAAATATCCTACACCTATAAATCTATTTGATCCTTCGTCTTTTCCAAAACTCATTCCAAATCCTACCATCCAGTAACTGATGCCACCAAAGATAACATCGGCAGCGTTTTTAATCATTATGTTTACTTCATTTTTCCTGGTCACGGCACCAGATTCTAAGAGGCCAAAACCTGTGAAAAAAGGTTAATATATCAAAAATGTATCATTAAGAAATCTAAATGAGATACATGCTCTCAATGTTTATCTTATCTAACCATCAACTCCGTGATATTTAAGAATAAAGTGAGTTAAACAAACATTTGAATATTAGCATATGGTGTTTTACAGTGATTATCAACTCACTCATAAAACAATACAGAAATGGCAAGATTCAATGAAATTCGACGAACACGACCGGTGATCTGCATATTTCAAACAAAATAAAGGAACCTGGGGAAAAGACAATGACAGCCCTCGCCAAAAATACTGACCAATCTTTCATTACTCAAATACAGTGGTTAGCGGTAGTATGAATGAAAAAAAAAGAAAAGAAATGCGTCTTGATTTTGGTTGGGTTCGTTTTGCTTAGTCTTTAAATTTCTATGTTGTGTTTTGTGTACTGTTGTTTGTCTTTTCGTCGTTTTTCGTTTTTTTGTCATGGGATTGTCAGTTTTTTTTCGACTTATAATATAAAAATAAGAAGATGTGGTATAATTGCCAATGAGGCAACTCGCCACCAGAGACCAAATGACATAGAAGGTTACAACTATAGGTCATCGTACGACCTTCAACAATGAGCAAAACCCATACCGCATTGTCAGCTATAAAAGGCCCCGAAATGACAAATGTAAAACAATTCAAACGAGAAAACTAACGGTCTGATTTATGCAAAAAACAATGAACGAAATACAAATATGGTATACAACAACAAACTATATCAACTGAATTACAGGCTTCTGACTTTGGACAGACACATACAGAATGTGTGATAAGAGTTGAAAAGTCAAATCTGTCAGCAGAATCAAAAGGACCACCAAATTCACGCAATTTATCTAAAACATACAAAGATTTTTTTACACTCCAAAAATAGTTACTTCCACTATTTTCATATGTTTTATTACAATAGTTAATGGCCAGTTCTTTGATAGTAGTTAAGGAACTAGTTAAAAGCACTGAAAGGTTAGTTGTAGAACACTTACTAGAGGCCGAGATGAAAAGATATTTTACGGGTTTTTTGTGTAGTTTAGGTACTTAGTAACCAAAACATAGTAGGGACCTTCAAATGTTCAGAAGAGGCATTAAGCTGTGATGTGGTTATGATAAGACTGTTTAGTATATGACTCTCTGTGGAGCGCACTGACCTGAATGTAGTATTTACGTCATACCACCACCAAATTGTTATCTTCTTTGTCGGCCGGTACAAACACAAACCGCTTTGCAAGTACTTGAAGTTTGTTTCTTATTCTAGAAAAAGGCGTATTATGTATTCTTTTGTTTATTTCCAAGTTATTTTCAAAATGTGATATTCGAATATCCACAACATTCATACATTTATTTAAATAAGAATCAAGAAATTTTTTATCAGATTTTCCCTATTTACACCAATTTTTACAATAGGATGAAAGAGGGTCTTTCATGACGAGTTTGAATATCCCTTCGGTATCTTTCACCTCTCTTGTCCATTTCAGACATGATTTTCTGTCAGGTTTTTCTACTAATGTATTTACGGTATCCTCTAGATCTGATTGTTTACGCGTTCATATTGTTTGTGATAAATTTTTTGTCGGACAACAAATGCACAGTTAATGAAAGTTAGTTATGTAGGTTCAAAAAAGATTTTTTCATTACCACATTACTTTACATTAATCTTTAGTTATTTAGTAATATTTCTAAAAAAAAAAAACAAAAAAAAACCAATTCAACATAAAAAAAACCAAAAAAACTACAGTACATTAACACAATAAATTCGGATCATATCAAAAATATTTAACAAAAACATACCAGATTGCATAGTGAAAATAATGAAAGAACTGGTTAAAATCCATGTTGCATCATCCCATGTCAAGTTATTTACAATAGCTACCGCGCCATTAGTGTTAGCTGTTGTTGAATTATTTGCCATTTTCATGCAGCGTGAAGATCATGATTTTGATTTGTAGAAATTTTCATAGTTTTCAAATTCAGACTTTCAAAATCCATAATGTACAGTTTATAGATCAGTGTCTGTTGAATTAAAACTAGAAAACCCATCATTAATTCAAACGACTGTTGATTATCGATAATTTATCCTTTAAGTATCTTGGAGATAGATCAGTAACTAAAAGCCTGCAGTGCTAAATTTTAAAAGCATCTCTTTAACATAGAAATTACGATCTATCCAAAATATAATGCAGTGAATAAGTATAATAAGTATGACAATGATACCATCATAATTAATAATTAAACAAGAATGTGTCCATAGTGCACGGATGCCCCACTCGCACTATCATTTTCTATGTTCAGTGGACCGTCAAATTGGGGTCAAAACTCTAATTTGGCATTACAATGAGAAAGATCATATCATAGGGAACATGTGTACTAAGTTTCAAGTTGATTGGACTTCAATTTCATCAAAAACTACTTTGACCAAAAACTTTAACCTGAAGCGGGACAGGCGGACGAACGGACGGACGAACGAACGGACGCACAGACCGAAAAAAACATAATGCCCCTAGGTGGGGCATAAAAATGAAACAAACAAAACAAACGACGTAAAACTAAGAATTCGAATGAACTCTAATACATTTGAGTGTTTACTTAATTAAATACATTTTCCTCAAGTTATCTTGGTATAAACCCATGATACCGATTTTAGTTTTTGGGTCACTGTGTTTCTGTAACAACCTAAGCATATACGGTCAGCTACAAACTTTTGAAAACCAAATATATCTTTCATTTTGAGGCATCAAAACCGAAAATATTTTTTAATTATATATAATAGAATCGTCTAAAGCTTCTAACCTGTGTAAATTTGGCCAGATTGAATTGCTACATTAATTAAAGTACAATTACATAATCAATTAAATTTTCATCAAAATATGTTAGTTTGAATGATGTACTAAGTATTTGCTGAATTGGACGAAGTAACTTCATGGAAAAGAATTTAGTTCTTGAGTGAAGTTCACATCTTAAAATTGACAATGAAAAAAAAACGATAAGAGATGAATTCTGCTTGTCAACTAAGAACATTCCATTTCTATGTAGTAACATTTCAGCAGCGCCTGCATATGGTGTATTATATCTTCTAGTTGATATGATATTCCAGAACTTGCGTTTCTGTCCTGATGTTCTTGATAGAATGTTGTTTCTTACAATATAGCCATTGAACCATCGGTTCCTATTGGTAGAGTTAAAGTCATCCTTTCGAAAGTTTTACGAACCTCACCACGAGTAGGTTGACCATTTTTGAGTATCTGTGTCAAAGATGACCACGGATATGGCTCAATATCCCTAATGCGCTTCAAATTGAGGAAAAACAATAGAAAATTAAAATGTCAACTGTTCTTGAACAATTGAGAGGTCTTTCATTTTCGTAATGTAAAATATGTGTTTTAATAGGCGTAGAATAAAATTGAGAATGGAAATGGGGAATATGTCAGAGAGACAACAACCCGACCAAAGAGCACACAACAGCTGAAGGCCACCAATGGGTCTTCAACGCAGCGGGAAAATCCCGCACCCGGAGGTGGTCCTCAACTGGCCTCTAAATAAAATTGTGTACCATTGAAAAAAGCTCAAAAACCCTCATAAAACCCATAAATATGACAAAAAACACATAATCCGCCATTTGCGAAATGACCTTGACTTTTGACCTTTTGACCTTTGTCAAGGTTATTGGTCCACGATGTCAGTATAAAAGACCCATTATTAAATGTTTGTTAAGAATTGAATTCCCAGAGAATTGGCCTGTGTGAAAATATAGACATTTTACTTGCTGAAGCCGCATCACATAGAGCCTTTCGGAGTTTTCCAATTTTTGAAAAATATAATTATTCTTCGAAAATTTAATCACATCTGTTTCGAAACTAACCATCACACTTATCCAATTTTTTATTCGAACAATTAGTTTCCATTGTCCGTTTGGTATCTTCCCCTTCTGTTTAAACGGTCAAGAAACAAGACAGTTGATCATTACACACCTATTCATCTTTAAAATAAAGTTTACAAAAGCAAATTTCCCGTTATAATTTCATGATATCATTACATTTGGAATACAAAAAATATTGAATAGACAATGACAGTCATTGACGGAGAAAACATGGTGATGATAAAACTGGACTGCTAAAAACTCAATATTAGTATTTTTGTTAAAGCACAATGGGAGGTATTGATTGGAATTGCAGAATTTCTGGAGAAACGGTTTGATTGAGATAACTGCAGGCGTTAGCCATACTTCAATTCATATAATTACCTTTTGAGGGGTTTTAACTGTTTGAAAGACCACCAAACAGTATTAATGTTTGTAGCTTATTTGCAAAGTTCGAACTTCGTATCTGTGGATTCGTCCAAAAACGTATAACTGTAAATAAAGGGAGTTTATCTCCTGATTAAGTGCTGTTCGTGTAGCTAAATCTAGCCTTTGTTTTTAATTAATGCCACTGTTTGCCTTTTATTTGTTTCTTTTTTTAAGGGTGTGTCATTTCATAAAATTCCCTATTATGAAATAAAGAATTGGAAATAATTTTGTGTTCGTATGTGTGTGTGTATGGCAAGTCAAAACTTTATCTAAACTTTAAGAAATAAAATGGAGTGTATCCAAATGAAAGTTTTGAACTCGGAACGATTTAAAAATTCTACTGCTCTTAGTAGTATGGTCCAAATGTGTAGAGTTTGGTCTACAATTTTCATCAAAATGGACAATGCATTCTTTAGAGTTGGTCTCATTGGGGTCTTATCGGGTTGGCCGATTTTTTGTAAGCGTGACGCGTGAAAGTCAAATTATTTTGCGTGAAAACGAGAAACATAGTTGGGCGGGACACGTGGAATTATTAGCGCTATTATTGCAATGATAAGCGGGATACGGGATTCTGACAAAACAATAAGCGGGATCCGGGATCAGACCCCCAATCCCCAATGAGACCCCTTAAGATAAGCAGAATTTTAATCAACTGCGTTCATAAGAGAAGGATAATCCCTCTATTTGAACAATCTTTAAAATGCACATTATCCTTTTTAATCAACACAAAAAGGACTCTTTACTGATCTTATATTTGATCTAGAGTATTTGATCATTAGATGTAATTTTTAATCTTAATAATACATCTATTCCCATTTTTTCTCCTCGTTTTGATGGGGTATTTTTTAAATCAAAAGAAAGAATATTTGGAAAGCCATCTGCTATATAATACAAATTGAAGTAATACTAATAGCTTAATCATAAAATTAATGTGTTTAATTTGTGTTCTGTTTGAACTGCTCGTATTCGTTATTTACATGTATTCGTTTAACCTATTGCATTTTCCTTTTTATAACCTAGAAAATATAATCTGCTTTATTACTCATCAGAATATCCTAGGTCATTCAATTAAGATTATTTTTCATGAAGGTTAATATTAATAATCATTAAGGTTTTTAGTTAAAATAGCACTAAACAAATCTTTCTATATACACTTTGATATAAAGAAAAACAACGCTTTATAACTAAATTCAATATCTGGATTTCAAAAAAGTAATATAAGAAATAAACAATCACAAAGGAATCTTTGTATTTTTTTGTTTTATACAACAAATAATTGCCTTTAAAAGATCGGGTTATCAAAAATAAGACAAATAGAAATTGATTGCAAGTTATTATTTACTGAAGATCATTGACTTACTGTCTTATATACTTTGTCATAATTTTTAATCTTAGAATAAGACCGGAAATCAGGTTTTTATCATATTCTGTATAACTGTTATTAACTTACTCGAGATCACATTTAAATTTCCTTATTGAACCATGTTTAGATTTACTTGTAGAAACACACTTAAGCAGCTAGACATTGGTATGAATAAAAAGAGATGTGTAGAATACGTCAATGAAACAGCAACCCAACGACACAAATAACCAAAATACATTCTAGAGGACAATATAAAGACTACAAATATAGACTGTAATTTAATGTGTCAAGCTTTAGATCGTTCCGATAATTTAAAAATAAGATAATGATTAACAATGTTACACTGTGTCGAAGGCGAGCAATTCCTGAAAGCAAGCACAGATTGGTAATCTGCTGATATTTTTTTGTACCGACCAACACTAAGGTTGCTGTATGTCATTGTAGATTTCACATGTAGTAACGTCATAAGTACAATACATGATTTTTAGAAATTATGCCTTGCTACATGTACACTCTATCAATGGTTGTTGTAATTCGTGGAAGTTTTCACATGTAGTAACGTCCTCAACAGTACATTTTTTCTGTCACTGTCTGAATGAGCTATACCTCAAATCTTTTAGTTTATTTATATTTTAAGATTTTAAAGTTCTGTGCATATTTGTGGTGATTTTTAATTTGAAGTCTTGAATCAGACATACAAATGTACAGTTTTTGTCTCTGGTAGATCTATAAACGACTATCAAGAAGACACGATATTGTGCAATGCCCGAACAATCTGTATAAATTAAAATTCAAAACAAAACAAAAAAAAAACATTTTATTAACTATCAAGAAGACACGATATTGTGCAATGCCCGAAAAATCTGTGTAAATGTAAATTCAAAACAAAACAAACAAGGAAACATTTTATTTGGCATTTATTGCCAAAATTACCACACGCAGTGGTTGAACAACAATAGTATAATTATAATCTGTTTTAATAAGTCTATTTATCAAAAAGGTAGATTTGAAGTACAATTTATAAAAAACGTTAGCTTTGTAAATAATATTACACTAAAAGCTGGATGCGAAATACTACGTTTTATTAACTTCCTGTATATATTAATAGCTGATAAAATATCTACAAACCCTTTTTTTTTTGTATTTTATCAGATCTTTTTTTTTATAGATTATTGCTGCAAACTAGCAAACTATTGATTCAAGTAATCTTTAATAATAGTAAATTTAAGTGATTATTTCGATAGGTTTAAGTTCGCTGTGAAAACTTGGCTGAATACTAAGGAATATATTTACCAGATTCACACAATTTCTTATTACTTTTAGGGAGCATCTGAGTTCACACAAGTTTTAAAAGTGTAAGTGAAGGTCATTCCTTAATTGTGAAGTAAAAATTGTTAAAAAAAAACAATTGAAAATTTGTTATCAGAATACCTTTCAGCGGCTGTGGTTGTACTTTTAAACACATGCTCTGAATGTAAGATTGAACGAGTTTGCATTGTCATATATAAAAAAAGAGATGTTGTATGATTGCCAAAGACACGTTGAGGTAAGTCTGGTTCCCATCCGGAATTGGAAAACAAGTTACAAACTAAATATTTAAGGGGGGCACCAATCTACCATAGTTCGTAATTGTGTACAAGAAGTTCTAAGCAATTAGATTTCAATTAGAAAATCTGTAACTCAATTACAGACTACAACACTTCCCTGGAAATAAATTTACAGCGTCATTCAATCCTTCCTTGGAAACAAGTAGTTAAAACAACGTCTGTAATCAATTACAGACTATAGAAACCATGCAAACAAGTAAACAACGTTTTTAATCAATTACAGACTATAGAAACTCAATTCATCTCTTCCCTGCAAACAAGTAAACAATGTCTTTCCATCTTCTACTTCTTATCTGCCGTTTTTCAACTTGTAGTTTTTAATTTGCCCCATCCCTCCCCCGCTTTACAACTCAAACACCACACAACCCAAACCCTCACCTATTGGGTATTTTTAAAGCTTTGATTTGCAATTTTTCTCTTGTCTACTAACCATTTAAAATGTGTTTGTTATGCGGATTAAAATGTCATTAAGTGCCATTTTTTCTCCTTCCGTTACCTTCCGGATTACAATGTAGCAAATTAAATACATAATTTCCTTTTATATTCGAATGAAAAAAATCATTAAAAAGAAACAAAACATAAACAATTTAATGTGAATAGGTGCTTCGTGAATAATGCAATTGCAGGATTATAGTTATTTTACCTAAAACATATTACATTGCAAACGAATGGTAAATATGTTTCATATTTATTTTTCGTAAATTATTTTATTATGAATAAGACCGTTAGTTTTCTCAATTGAATTTTTTCATATTTTCATGTCGGGACCTTTTATAGCCGACCATATACAGTATGGATTTTCCTCATTGATGAAGGCCGTACGGTTACCATAATTGCTTACATCCACTTCATTTGAACTTTGGCATTGTCCTTTTTAGAGACTTGAATTAATTTAATTACTAAGTATATCATATCAATGTCATCTTTCAAACAGTCAAAATATAATTTTCATTTCATTATGGTAGTTAAGCCGCTAAAATACCTTACGTCACTTTAAGTACTTATTTGTATCTTATGATAATTTGAACGTATGATATAATGGACACGATCTTATAATAGAATAAATCTGCAACCGAATTTCAATGTAGAATAACAAAAGATAATTTGAATATTGCCTCAAACTATTAATAAGCAAATTGAATTTCCTACCAAAAAACAACAATCCCAATGAGTGAACAACAATATAATTATAATCTTTCTTAAAGAAAATTTCTGTTAGCGTTATAAATAAAAAAAAACATAAAAAGCTAGGTATAAAATAACAGTTTTTATTATATTCCTGCAGGTGGAATAAAATTTCCACAAGGGACCTCGATATTTGTGATAAAATGTCAAAAAAGCGGAATCAGTCCTTGACTGAATTTGTGTCGGTCTTATTTTTCTTACACTCGCTATCCTTTATAGCAAAGAGTAAGCAATGTGTCAGTAGGACCGTGTACCTTTCTCCTGAATTAATAATATCATTCTTTACTTTTGTAAGCATTTCTTAGAAAACAACAATGCAGCATTCACTATAGAATAAGACAGGTTAAATAATTGATTTACCATATAATATCAAAGTGAAGATTCCAGATGAAAAGATAATACTTAAGAAATAGAAACAAAAAAAATTCCTAAGACAGTAGGCCGGTCATTGCAAAATGCCAGGACAAGGTTATAAGAAACCAAATTTAAAAAGCAAATAAAAAAGCAACAAAAACTGAGGCCTAAAGCGAAATCGTAGTTTTGAAATTTATAATATAAGTAATTTCTTTATATATGGCAAATAACTATTATCTGTAACTGCTAAAATGACTAGATCTTTTATATTTCTGTGCTATGACCCTATCTGTAATTTTATGCGTAACGTTTTCTGAACTATAATTGTTAGTCCTTACGTCTGCTTTACTGTACTAAGAAATTGATAGTAATGTTATCGTTGATGTAAAGTAATTTTATGTATTGAAACATCAAACGAATTACATATAGAGTAGAAAACTATGTATTGAATTTGCTGCAGCAAAATATGTTTTATTTGACATTATGTTGAAATATGCACTAAAAAAACCTTTTTATTGGTCAAAAGAGAGGCGAAAGATACCAAAGGGACATTCAAACTCATAAGTCGAAAATTAACTGACAACGCCATGGCTAAAAAAACAAAAAGACCAACAGACAAACAATAGTACATAAAAAACAACATAGAAAACATAAGACTGGGCAACACGAACCTCACCAAAATCTGGGGGTGATCTCAGTTGCTCCGGAAGGATAAGCAAATCCTTCTCCACATGTGGCACCCGTCGAGTTGCTCATGTTAGTACAAACCAGGTAAAAAGTCTAAAACGATAGGTCACTTTCGGGTAAATGGGGACGGGATTGTAGTTACGACATTTGGAACATAACCGCTATCATCTGAGTTTCCTTTAAAAATTAACAACATAAGTGGGGCTTATACTTACAAAAAAAAAACCATTTATAGTATTATTTTATTGTTTAAAGAGACACTTAATTACAATCAAAAGAACTGCATATTAGAAGAAACAGATCATTTATGACTAACAAATAACACTTTACAAAATTTATGCGTGCGAAGAGCTTTTCTGGGTTCACCTTCATCAAATACGATCAAAATCAACTATTTGAAAGTCAAGTGCGTATTAATACCGAAACATGTGAAGAGCTTATGACCAAGAGTGACCTAACAATAATAGCCGAATCCATTTAAGGTCAACTTTGCTGGAGTCCAGTTGAACCTTAGTTTCGTAATTATTCCTTAATTCAAAAATGGACATAAGCTTGGTTTCGTGTATCCAATTTCATTATTTATGGAAAATGTATTGTCTTGTATTGATTCTTTTGTTGACTAGTATACTAAAACTGGATACACAAATTAAAAGTAGTAAAAACCTTGATTTTTTAATAGCAAGAATAAGAATTGACAAAGTGCTGCATTATTTTTTCTACTGAAAGTTCACGGCCGAAGAAATTTAAATAACAACAAAAATTAAGAACCATAAACAAATTTTTATTCATAATAAATGACAATCATTGTAATATTTCCAACAATAGAAAACAATTCATTTCTTGGCTGACACATTAAACCTTTACTTTTATATTTGAAAAAAGAATGTAATGATAATAATACAACAAATAATAATATATCACTGTATTTACAGAAAAAGCAGTAATTTACATTCACAAAAAGAGAGAGAAAATATAAAAATTGATAATGTTTTAAAAAGCTATGAACCAATTAGTTTCCTTTAATAAGATGATAGTTTTTTCTAATGTACAACGTTAGATTCTTAACAGAATAACCCAAGACAAATAATAAAAAAAAATGTCATTCTTTGAATGCAGGATTGCACTGCCCACCCTCGACTTTCTTATCCCTATTCACGGATGCAAACACAACGGTTTTACGCGCTCTTTTCCTCGTATTTAGCTTAATATCTGCATCGTTCTTTCCATCCTTGTCAATACCTTTCAGACCATTGTTTTTTTGTAGACTTCCGTCTGCGTTTGTTCTACTATTTTGTTTCTGTTCGCATTTTTTGCGCACTTTATCGTCGTTATCAGTGGCCTCCTCGTCAGAACATTTGTTGATGTTTTCAAGAATAAGATCATCTGTGTCACGTGCAGGAATGTTGTCTGTAGGTTGATCAGGGGTTGAATTTACTTGATCTGCACGTGGGACGTTACCGTTACTTTTCTTAGCACGTTCTGATTTTTCCTTCAGTCTGCGCAATACTGATTCAGCATACTCTTTCACATCCGGCGGAAGTTCAACGTTGTGCTCACAATAATCAGCCCCATAAAGTTCTTCTTCTAAGGTAAGTCGTAACCCTATAGTCATGTCAATTAATTTGAGAACTATAAATGACGTCACCACTGACCATATGATGATTGTGACTGCAGCCATAGTCTGAACTCCAAGTAAGTAGAAACCACCTCCCTAGAATAGAATATATCATAAGGCACATTATAAATAGAGAATAACATTTGGCCTTTTCAATATGACGCTTGTATCCACTGTGCCCTTACTAACCCGAGACACTAATATACTAGTATTACAAAGAGCTCTGCTCGAGGGATTATATTGGTTAGTAATTTCGAAAAAAGCCATACATTATTCACGTTATTATATAAGAGATTATCATACGGCTTTTGTGATATCACATTCATATTAACCTGGCGTATTACAGGTTAGGGTTTGATAAAGGCCTGGCTAGATCATCACAGACGACAGATACAGCACAATTACCATCGACTGTATTACACATCCAAATTACTTGTATAAGTATATACTTCTGTGTATTAAATAGTGGACACCTTTTCATATATATAGACATAAAGTATATCTATACCTCTTGATATCTTTGGCTATTTATGTTGTATGGTTGATGACGACTCATTGACGCAATACCCACATCTTCTAGTCTTACAAATAAACGAAAGCGAAATAGTCTATCGTTGTTAGAAAAGAGTTATCATTAGTATTCACCAAGCAACAATAATTACATTACATGTATGTTTCATTATAATACGTTATTTCTATTGGCTTACAGCAATCTCGCGTCTTTCTGGAATTAACCTTCATTTCAAAATTTCAAAATGAAAAGTAACATTCATGATGACACGAGCTTCCATAATAAAGTGCACAGGTAAATAAAAGAAAAACTTGATAGAAATCGTGTTTTCATGATCCTAGCACAAAGAATTGAATGCTTCTTTTTGTAAATTTATTGGGTTGCAAAAGCGGAAACCGCGCTTCATACAAAATGTACTTCGATCAACGCTTTTACAACCCAATAAATTTACAAAAAGAAGCATAAGAATTGAATTTTCTCCGCTTTCTGAAGCTAGTGGTATATACCTGTAGTGATGAGAAATTCTAATAGTACCTCTAGTTATTTATCAATTAATGAATGGTTAGACGAACTTATGATGACTGTCCAGCAGTTAATATTACAAGCGTATTAAGGTTAAGCATATGTTATGGTTAATGGGTTACTTATGTGAACCATGATTTATGCTGGACCTTAAACCAGATTAAAAAAAAGTCCAGTAAAATAAAAACTAATTGTCTTTTTTTGTTATTTTTTTTTTTTTTTTTTTTTAATTTTTGTGTAGAAAATATTAAAAGTTATAAAACATATGTTTATGGAACATCAGCTGACTGTCGGATTCTGTATCTATTTCTTCATCATCAAATGTTAAATTTTGGTACCCGCAAAGTTAAGAAAATTACATGTAGATAATAACAATTATAAGGCCGATTTTTTTTCGCCGAACCTTAAGTGTAGTATAAAAGATCGTACAACTTAAAGAAAAACATTAAGATTTTAAAAGGACACATTTTAATTTTTTTATTAAGTTATTCAAATCCTTCACCTTACCCAGACTAGACCATCATGATGACTAAAACTGTGCTCAATATCATCTTTCAGTCCAAAGAGACCGCAACATAAAATTCCCCAAATGGAACCCATTAAATGAACTGCTACTGCGCCAACTGGGTCGTCTACTTTCATTTTGACTAGAGCTATTTGTCCAAAAGTTGTAACACATGCTCCAACTGCACCAATGAGGATAGCAGCCCATGTAGTTGTTACTGCGCATATACCTATAAAAAAGACATCAATTATTTGTTGTGAGTAATTGAAATTAACTTCAAGTGTCAACAAGAAATATTATAATACATTTTACTTAGTATATTTCGTTCCATACATTTTTTTAGACATCAATGAGAGGAAATTTTCAAACCCAAGGAGTAAGGCAATCTATATGTCACTCATTTTTCACACTTGCTAAAAACCGTTGATCAAAATCTTTCAAAACTAGATATTATATTTTGTAGAAAGTAAAAAGTTTAAAATAAATAATTGTTTTCATATACGAAATAAAAATGTTGACTAAAATTTTGAGACATAGAAGTTCAAAACTCCCAAGAATACTTTTATTTATTCAGTAAGAGATACCTCGGGGAAGGGAAATGGTAGTGGAGGGATACGTAGAGATTTTATCCAAGTTTGTCAAAATTTACCTGTTATACTGACAAGTGATCCAAGAATTCCATTCACTAACAATTGAACATCAAACTTTCTCTTGTGTAATAAGAAACTGTAATTAAACTGCGATGTTATTCTACTTAATATGATCAAAATCCAAAGTTATAATTATGCATCGAAATAAATCAACTTATAGTCAAAATCATTATATTATGCAGTGAAATGATATAAGTTATGACCAAATCATTATATATATACATATGTATGATCAAAACTCCGTTTCACACCCCACGAATTAAATGAATGGTGCATGTTTATTTCAAAGTCATATTGCTTGTTGTTTTGTGTTGTAAAAGTCCTACTGGCATGTAATGATAATGAAAATATAACCCAAGACAGTTTTAACGAAGAAATGTAATGGTATAATGTATTTTTTTGATAAAAAAATTCGCGTAATTATGAAGAAACATTTATTTCAAATTCTTTTCCTGACATACATTTCAATCGATATCTCAACAACAATTATGAAGCGGAAATATGGAAAGTGCAGCTGAATTAATAGAATCGGATAAATGCATTAAAAGAGCAGATATATATAAAGATCGAACTGAATGACACCAATTGATATATGTAAATACAACATAAATGGAATATTAATGGAGACATGCTTGTATCATTTCCAATCAAACTTTCAAAACAACGAATTCTTTGGAGAGACTGTGTATTGTGCTTAATCATAAAATTAACATTTAATTTTCCCTCTGCACTACTTTGTTCACTTTAATGCAAAAAAGTTTGCACCCTTGGAATTGCCAAATATAGTTTCTACAAACACCAGCATCAAAAGTAAAAAAGAACCCCTCCTAACAAAAAATAATTAAAAAACAAACAAACAAACAATGCTATTAAACAATAACAAAACAAAAAACAAGAACAAAAACAACAAGAAAACATTTTCTACAGTAATGCAGTACAGCTAGACGAAGTGGTATTTAGTTTGTGATAGCATTGGTGTTTTATTGATCAATTTCAGGATGAAGAATATGGTTAACGTGTTGAATCAAGAAACCAAAGTGTATTTTTTATGTTTTATAAAACAGTATCACACCTAATTTGTATATCATATATGCCCCTTATTAAAGAATAAACAATTTTCTGTCTATTTATTATATCTTAGATTTTAAAATAATGAAATATTCTTAAGTCAATTGTCTTGTTACACGAGAAAAATATATGACAAACACCTGAAGGAACTTTCTTCAATCAGTAATTTTGCATCAAATGAAGACAAGAAAATTCAGTATAACGTATGTAATTCTTGGTAATGAAATCCTTTTTTCTGCTGAAAATTGTTGAATATCTAATAGACAGACATTGTCTTCACAAAACTACAAATACATTTTTTGTACTTTATTACTTTTCGATAAGCGCAAAGAATGAGCTTTCGAATTTACACTAAAAATGTTTATATGTTTGCTGAGAAAAACAACACAAGATTTGTTTTTAGTGAACATTATTGTTATTGTAATTCTATGCTGAAAGCATTCTTCCTTTTTGTTATTTAATACTAGACACAACCTTTTCCTGTAGGTTCGATATCAGAACTCTGTGCTTTTTCATGCAAGCTGGACTACTACATGTATGTATTTGTCCTAGATGCAAGTTTTTATTTACCCATAGCTGTATTCATGGCTACTTGTCCTGTTTACAATTTTGCTGCAGGTAAATTAAATATAAATGATATTTAAAACCAATTAAAACAAATTTTAAAATTACTTATACGACATTGAAATGATAGTGTTTCGAGTCGGATCCAAACCGATAATTTTCCGCAATTTGATAAACATCCGAAATCGCTTGTTTTAAGGTATCTTCGTCAAATCTATGTCTCGCATCGGTAGGTCGATTAGTTAGCCTGGACTCCAGGCTACTTTAGAGAGCTTTCTTGATTATCTTTCACAATGAACGCTGGGAGCCTACGTTTTGAAGACTTAAAATGAGACGGAAGCCTGCATAATCAAACACAACCTAATGAAAATACTTAAATCGTCTGTGAAGTTAGAACATTCGATTTTGTTAAATTACAACAGTTATCAACGGAAAAAATATTAAAAAAAAAGAAATGAAAACAACACGTTATAAATTTCATGCGTCCGAGAAGCGCTTTTCTGGATCGGGATCGCTAAAAGCCAAATATTTGAAAGCCACGGATGTATAAAACCGAAACAATTGATGGGCTATATAACCAAAAGGACCTAAAAAATAGCAAAATTCATCCAAGGTCAACTTTGCCTGAGGGAGTTGAAGGCTTATTTTCTTCAAAATTTCAAATTTTATAAACGGACAATTTTAGAAAGGTTTGTTATAAAACATGTCAGTACCGAATTACCGACTACTGAGCTGATGATACCCTCGGGGACTGATAGTCCACCAGTAGCGGTATCGACCCAGTGCTGTAAAAAAATGAAAACAACACGTTATAAAGGTATCTTATAAACATGTTCAGTTTCAAAGTACAGACCACTGGGCATAAATACACATGAGATGATAACTTATGTGTATAAATGTATCAACAGTGGTGTAAAGACCTAGGTGTGAACAAAACCACCAACAAGATTGTGAAATACCTTTTGTAATTTTTCTTTTTTGTTCATTTGAAATTTGAAAAACCAACTCCATGTAGAAAAAGTTGAGATTTTAGCCCCATATCAATTTGCATTTAAGTGGTTTACGGAATATGCTTTTTACCACAAACGCAAAGCAGAGAAAATAACCGAAAGACGGAATATTATGACTCGAAATATGCATATCAATTTAAGATCATTTAATTCTGTTAACGAAAATGCTAAAATAAGTTTTATATTGGTTAAAAGCATGCATCTATTCTATTCTATTATGAAAGCATAGCAAAAGAAGCATAACATTTATATAATAAATGAAATGTCGTAATCTAGAAATCGATCAACCGTTTCGCATCATATATTTTAAGCAATGCAATTTTGTGATTGTGTAAACTTCCTTATAAAAATAAAATACAAAAGATAAATAAAAAAGAAAACAGTAATATAGTACAGAATCAAAATGCATATTATTGATAAAGTTCCTTTTTTATGTACACCGGGCAAAATATTGTGGAATTTTTCTTACACCACATATACTACACACTGTAATTTGCTTTTTAAAAGTTCGTTTTTAAATGATTAATATGCTTTTTAAAAAGTGCGTTTTCAAATGTTTAAAAGTTCATGCAAATGCAATCTACTCTGTAAACTAGTAGTAAATGAATGAACATTTACCTCAATAAGAAAGCCATAACGCCTCCACTACAAGATGATAAAATTGTCGTGGCAGCCGATCTGAAAGACAAATTGTAAAGAAAAGAAATATAAACTGTATGGAATTCTAATGTTAATTCTATTATTCTAAAAATCCGGATTAAACCCATTAGAATGAAAAGTTTGGTTTTTGAGGGGTGGAGGGGACTGATGCCTATATTCCCTAGCTCTGGCCTTGTTAGTGTAGGTAGTCTATCAAAAGGAAGGGATAAACAAATGTTTTGCGACGCTATACTATTTATTTAAGACATAGGTATATAAGAATAACCAAATTAATACGCAACGTCCTAGTTGTCATCCTACTGGCCTTCTAAATAGACACATAGGTTTATTCTACAATAAGCATATATCTGAATTGTGGTTGAAGGTGATTCTTCATATTGGTTTTTCAAATAAAATTTTAAAATTACGTAAAAAGAACAATTGTAATTGAATTGCAATGAAAGATAAGCTGGCTTAAATCATAGATACAAATGAATAAATACAATGACTTTATGATTGTTTGTTCTTAGAATATGGTAAAATGTATTGAAGTCGCTAGATTTCACCATTCTTATTAGTGCAGAACTTTGAAAATCGTGTTGCAGTAAAATGTAATATGTCAATAGAGCTTTCGAATTCTTTTGTGAAAAGAAAGACTTGTAAGCTACATTTCAAGTTAAAATATAAGCATTAATAAAGAAAAATAAAGAATAGTAGAAAAAACACCAACAAAGAAACAAGAAGAAAACACGGATTCATAAATTGTATAACATCATTTCTTTATTTTGATTGGTTGATAGCCAAAGTATTTGTCATGAATATCGTTTATAGTTTACCGCACCGTGGTAATGCACAAGGATGTGTTTTAATCCTATTTACAATCAGAATCATCGAGTTAATGTATTTTAGTTGAGTTTAACAAAGAAAAAAATATGCATAATAAGCACATTCTTTAACAATACATGGTTTTATGTTTTACTTTTCACTGATCTTTGGGTATGCATATGAAGTTACCTTGCAGCAATTTTCCACTTTCCTCCACTTATACCAAATGTACTACCACAGTTGAATCCTAACCAACCCCACCTAAAATAAAATAAACTTTTCTACAGGATTTTGTTTTCTATGAGAAGGACAAAAGGTACTGAGAAATGAGAAGAAAAGGCAAACTAGTTAAAAAGATTGTAGGTAATAAAAGACAAAGAATCTAAAATATGTTGTCATTTAATGTAATATTTAAACATGACACTGCACAAAAGATGATCACATTTTCAGATAAGCGCAATATCTCAGTAAACTTTGCACTTGCATGATGAACCTTTAATAATATGTAGTAATAGCTAAGTTGTTAAGTCATATGTACATACATAGTATTCTAAACACTAGGTATGGGTTTTTCTCATTGTCGATGGCTATATGGTGACCTTAACAGAGTTCTCGAAAAGTGTTGATCCGAAGTTTTAGACCACCAAAATTTTCAAAGGACCGACACAATTTTGGTATTTTGCAATAGCAATAATACTGAGGACAAGCATATTTTCTTCAAGGACCACAAGGGAAAAAAGATTTCGAGAACACTGGACCTACAATTGCTCCCATCACGTCATTTGGTGGATAGTTGTCTCATTGGAAATTATACTACGTCTCCGTATTTCATATAGTCCAACTGTATCATATGTTTATGTGTCTGTCCTAAATTATGAACTTTGAGTGTGGTCAGTTTTTGTCATACCTTCTTGTGCTTTTGTCATTTGTGGAAATTCGATGTTGATGGCAGATCTCAGATAGTCACTACTTTTCTAGATTCTGGGTGGTTGAGAGTTTGACATATTGTTTATTGTTGAAGACCGCTACTTGTCTTTCTTTTATTTTGATATGTCTTATTGACGTAAACATCCATTTTATTCAGATACATTTATTCTTTAATGAATGAAAAATTATCACCATAAAATAAACAATCCAAGAACAGCATTTACAGAGTTTCCATGTACAGTCACTTGGTCGTCCGAGAATCTTCCATATCTTGGTTTCACTATAATTGCCGCTACAAGTGCTGTCACACCTCCAACTAAATGAACCGGTCCAACACCTGCAACATCGACCACGTCCATTTGCTTCAACCACCCATTCTTTGACCATACCCAGTGAGCAGGGAAACTGTAAACAATTGTGTTCAGTAAGCAAAATGCAATGTAGGCAGTTAGTTTGGTTCTTTCTGCTATTGCTCCTGTTTTAAGAAAAAGATATAGAACAAATAAACATAAAAGCAAAATAAACAATGATAATACTTTATTGGTAATTTTTATGAGACTTGAAAAAACACAAACTATAAGGTTTTCACGTTGGTATATTCATAAATTATCATTATGTTTAGAAAGATATTCACGATTAAAGTTTGATTTACTCATATTTGATATGCGTAAAATAAAATATTCATAAAATTATAGCACGTGTTACACTGTCGCTGTGTAGCCTTACCTGATACTATAGTAGTAGCTGTTGTACAAAACGAGGCTTGAAATATGAATTTGGAAAACTCTGTTCCCATGGTTTCTTCGTCTAAAAATATATACCATAATAGCTAATGTTGGATATATAAATGTACTGTTTGAACATTCGTGGATTTTTTTCTGATTTAGTTTCCTTTTCAAATTATTTTTGTATAATAAATGTTATAACAACCACATTATGTAATATTTTAAAAACTTTAACCGTTACCCGAACGGAAGTAGTGCAAACTATTTCAATGTTAATAATTCCCATAAGAATATTACTTTACAAGGTAAAACAATCGCTTTTTACCACAACAAATTTTCCAGAATAAATTACAAGAAAAATACAACAGGAACAATGAAAATTGTCTTACCAGGGTCTAAAAAGAAGGACCCAACTCCTGTAAACCAATTAGCGCCTTTATCCGTCCCAAATGTCAGTCCATATCCTACGGCCCAATATGTCAGGGTGCCAAACACCACGTCTACCACATTCTTTATCATAATGTTTACCTCATTCTTTTTGCTGGACATACCACTTTCTAATAGTCCAAATCCTATCAAAATCAAAAATGGGTCTGAAATTCGATCTTATTGAAACATGTATATGTTGAGCTCAAAAAGTGGACTGAACGTGATGACTGGATAAAAAAATCTTTTATCATGTCTAATTAATTGGTGGTAACATATATTAAACATATTTGTCATACAGATTATGAAAATATTTTCGCCCCTTGTACCATGTAAAATGGCCGCATAAGTCTATTGTCTTCTAACCAGTATAAGAATTTATCAAAGATAACAAGAGTTAGCTTTGATTTACGCAATAACATCATCGATTTTTTTTTTATTGAACATTGAGTTTCAACAGTTTACTCTATAATGTGCTTATGAATTATTTATTCATAAGAACAAACCTGCCACTATGACCATTGCATTATTTTCCAATAAAGCCCGAGGACCTATAGAATGAAGACGGTTTAACTGAAATTAATGTAAAAGTTTGCCCCTTACCAAACATTTCGGAACCAGGATATCTGAAATAAATCCTAGCATAAAGTACCAATGACGTAAAAACTGTATCTCGACTACATATAACAAATGGATGTGTAAAAAGACGGGTAATGCTTCAAGCCATTCTGTTTGATTTGATTTGATTTTGATTTTGATTTTTGGTGTTTTAACGCCACTTTTATGCACCGCTTTTGGGCTATTTCTTGGCGGCCAGTTTTTATTGGTGGAGGTAGCCGGAGTGCCCGGAGAAAACCACCGACCTTCGATAGAAAAACTGACAATCCTAGTCAATTAAGATTGGAGTCGAGTGCACCCGCACGAGCGGGGTTCGAACTCACAACCTCAGTCATTCTGTTTGAATATATAAATACCAATGTAATAAACTCTGTGATTAAGATTATACACAATGTTGACTGCTGTACCCCTATTTTTGACATTTTTACCTATTATGTCTGTTTGTTTTGTTCACACATTGTTGTCAATACAATGGAATTTTATGCGACTGTCATACAAGTGAGAGGTTAAGCTAGCTATAAAACCAGGTTTAATCCACCATTTTCTACATAAGGAAATGCCTGTACCAAGTCAGGAATATAACAATTGTTTTTCATTCGTTTGATATGTTTGAGCTTTTGATTTTGCCATTTGATGGGGGATTTCCGATTTGAATTTTCTTTGGAGCTCGGTATTTTTGTTGTTTTACTTTTTTCTCCTAGCTATATCAGACAAAATATTTGTCCATTTATAGTGGCCAGCTTCGGGAAAAGATTTTTTTAAACGATTAGCAATATCTAGTATTTCTGACATAACCGTGTTTCAAATAGTGTATTCAAACTAATAAGTTCACCACACATTATATAAGATCGCAGTTGGGTTTTTTTCGCAATCTGAAAGATAACAAGCAATCCTTTCCTCTGACAAGTCTTGAATGTGTGAGTTTCATAAATTATATTGTTCTGGTTAAAATTGAAGATATGGAGTTTACGTCAACGAGACAATAATACGGAAGTGTCATACAATAAAGTTATTGTGAATTACTGATTACACAATAATACGGAAGCGTATTAGCGCCATATAATAAAGTTATTGCGAATTACACATTATAATACGTAATTCACAATCACTTTATTGTATGGCACTAATACGCTTCCGTATTATTTAGATCTTAAAACATAAAGTTACGGTATTTTTGATACATGTCTATTGATGAACAGCATACGTTGACCTTTATTTGTCTTCTTGTTTTATTGTGTTGTTGATTTGCTGTCTCGTTGACGTTAACTCAATATCTAAATAATATCGGCTCTATGTCAAGACGTACTTAAAATATAAATATCATACATAATACTTTATTTTTATAATTAAAGTACACCATTTCCTTAAACATAGCCATTTCTTAATTGATGTTTCTGAAACTTATTACTTTTTAATTTAAGTAGATGTTGGTTTCCAGTCATCATATAATATATCTAGATATAAATCTCTTTTTTCAATTTAATATGATATTAATAATTGATGGAATGATCAGATTTATCATGATGATCTCCTTTTGTGATTAAAAAATTAATTATAAACGAACTTAAAATCTTCGTTTCCCACAAGAGAAACATTAAATACTAAACATTGGATTGATATAAATTGAAATTAATTCAAAATTAAAATCACAATTTTAAGCTTCTTTTTCTAACGAAGGTCGACATACACTGTCAACCAGATATTTTCTTTTAATCTAATCAAGTAGAAAAAAACATTGGGATTTAGGAGGTTGACTAAAAAAGGAGTGGGGACGACCCAGGTCTAACATAAATGATAATAGACAGTAACTACACTGAGGTCTGATATGAATGATAATAGACAGTCACTACACTGAGTGAGGTCTGATATGAATGATAATAGACAGTCACTACACTAAGGTCTGATATGAATGATAATAGACAGTCACTACACTAAGGTCTGATATGAATGATAATAGACAGTCACTACACTAAGGTCTGATATGAATGATAATAGACAGTCACTACACTAAGGTCTGATATGAATGATAATAGACAGTCACTACACTGAGTATATCAATAGGTACTGACTGAATTGTGACACTTTGGTGACAATTGGCAAATTAATATGACCACAGCCCGGAACTTTATTTTTGAGGACCTCTGTACAGTACCAATGGAAACCTTTTAATCACGTGGGTTTCTTAAGAGGAATACCTTACATACGGGTTGTAACGTTGATGCTGATCAGCTGGCAAAATCATGGTCAAATGCGACTTAGTTATACTTTGAAGCATGTTTTTGCAGAAATTCACTAGTCCACTTTTCTATCCAAGTATGGTAGTATAGACTAGTGCTAGAAACATAAAATGAATGTTAATGTACCTACCAAACACACGCCTAAATTGTATATATACTAACTGTAAATATGAAATTGTGAACAATATATTCATATTTCTTTTCTTCTGGAGAACTGATAAACTATTTTTCTATTAGTACAGTACCTTGCTTCCAAAAACGATTTTTATAGACTTCCCACAGGCTTTATTGTGAAATGAAGTCCCTGGATGTGGTCATATTATTTTGACAGTTGACACCAAAGTGACACTGTTCAGTCACTACCTTAAGAGGAACATTTCTTCAGCCGGAACAATTCTCAAGACAAAACATTTTCAATACATTTGCCATAGGTGCCGATGTGAAGCTAAGTGTCTAGATATGTCTTGTCGGTGGTCATATTACTGTATCAAATGCCTTACAAGGACAATTTCTATGATTTTAGTTTCTTCTCACATCCACCCACTTTCAGTTTGAAAGAAGGTTCTCCGGAACAAAAAAAAATCAACATTTTTTCCAATGTTAACAGACCTCCATTGTTGATTACTGAGTAATGAACAGTGCAGCAACATGCAGTATAAGTATCACACTAAGCAACTGTCATTCTTATTTGGCTTTCGTTGTTGAAAGATTTGAATTTTATATATTTATACTCGTTTTTTTAATTTTATGTTCTTCCAAACTTTATCTTCCACAATCGCTGACTTATAAATAAACTAATCATTGATAGATAACAGGCTTAAAAGTGTGTACGCCAGACGCACGTTTCGTCTACAAAAGACTCATCAGTGATGCTCAAGTCAAACCTAGAGGCTCCAAAGAGCCTGTGTCGCTCATCTAGGTCTTTATGCATATTAAACAATGGACTCTCTCCAACATTTCAGACTAGAATATAATTCATGACAAAAATCTTTTTTTGTCGATCTTGTATTGCCGATATTTTTTTTTTCTGTTTTGTTTCTCTCCATCTTCTTTAGTTTTAAACCAAAAAACAAAAGAGGGTACACGATTTATTAGTTAAGGACAATCCCTCCCATAAAGAGTGTACTAACTGTATCGGCTAAATTTGACTTATTTGTAGATCTGGTCTTGTTGATCATTTTTGCGATTTACAGTGTCTATCCATCTATTTTAGTTTTCAAGATAATGGACACTAATTATTGTCACTAAAGGGCAAGAACTCCAACAATTAGTCGACTCACGATTTCACGATTTCAACCCTGTTGACTTGTATGTAGATCTTGTCTTGCTGATCATTTTTACCATTCAAAGTGTCTACCTATCTATTATCGTGTTCAAGTTGATAGGAAAAAAACATTAAAAATTGGCAAAAAGCGATATTAAGGAGCAATAACTCCAATAACGATTCGAATGAAGAATTCGGCACTCAAAATTACTTGTGTATCTTGTTATGCTGATAATTTTTGCTTTTTAAAGTAATATCTATCTATTGTAGTTTTTTAAAGATATCAGGCAAAACGCAAAAAAATGGTTAACATGGTTTATTAAAGGGCAACAACTCTAATAAGGAATCTTATGACGATATCTAAAATATTGGCTTATTTGTAGAGTAGTCTTGCTGAACATTTTTGCTATTCAAAGTTTTCGTTATTTAAGGGCAATAACTCCTATAAGACTATAAGAAGTCGTCCGATAGTTTTGACCGTAACAGACAAAAATTGTTCTTGGCTCAACATTCTGAACATTTCTGGCTCTGTCAGATTTTCTCTATCTAACACGGTTTTCAAAATAATAGACAAAACTTTGCATTTTGCCCCTATAAGCTACAGACAGGATCATCGGACAGATTTATTAACTAAATATCCCAATGATGACCAAGTTTGGTTATATTTTGCCAAGTAGGTTGAGAAGATTTTTGTAAAAATTAACGGACAACGGACGACGACGACAGACGAGGGACGATGGACGCCATTTGATGGGAAAAAATCGGTGAGCTCAAAAGCATAAAAGGCCAAATGAAATACGAAGGTGAAGAGCACTGAATTTCAATGACATCTTCCAGAGTTTTTAGTTGATACTGCATTTAAATTGTGCATCTGTTATTTCTAAAAAAAATTTTATCAAAGGGATATTTACAAAACATGAAGTTTGCCAAATACGCTAAAGAGGGAAATATTTTGCCTTCGCATCCCATCTTAAATCGTACGACTGCATTTCAATGAAAACTTACAGAGAATATTCTGTGCAGCCTCTATTTGTTTTTTAATTTCAATTTACGAAATTGCAATCGTCTTTCGCTTAAAACATCGAAGTATTATTATATATAATAACATCTCAGGGATTCAATTATATTTGCATTTAATTGGTCTTCTGCTTCTGAAAGGTTTTGATATATATATATATATATATATATATATTTCTCTTTAGGTGTAAAACTAGGTTTTCTGACCGTCATACTAGTTCAGTAATCAACACTAAGTTACATGTATCATTAATTCTATAGCACCATGTAAAATAACTATCTTGTCATATATTGCTTTGAATTGGTTGAACGGTATGTTTAAACCAGAAAAGTCTAAGTAAGCTATGATGGCTATCTTTTTCATTTAGTCTTTATTATAATCTAAAATATTTTAAGCTCTGTCTTATATTAGGACCATATCTTTAAAGTTGGGTATCATTTGCTTCAGAAATACTGGAGAAGAAGATTTGTGCGGAAGATGGACGGCATGGGATAATAGCTTTCGACCAAGTGATTAAATAATTCAAAAATTGTATTTATGTTACAAAGGAAGCGATAATAGAAAAATAAAAAACTAAACAAACAAGACACAAATTCATATGAAAAATCTTTACTTTAGAAACATTTGATAAAAAAGTGCATCGATAAAAACAGTCAAAGCATATATATACTACTTTATAAACATTCAGCCCATAATATAAAATTGACTATAAAGTTTATTTTAAAATAGACTCGTATCAGGTTTTTTTCTTTTAAGAATAAATATGTTGAATCTTGAATATGTTAAATCACACAATTACTAACCTGACTGCATTGTAAATATTATAAAAGAACTTGTTAAGATCCATGTTGCGTCATCAATCCAAGCTTCTATCTGTTCGTCGTGTTTATATACTAATGTTCCATTTGTCATTTTGTTTTTTGGTATTTGGATGTTCAAATATTTTCAAAAAACTTCAAATCATTATTACAGTCACATATATATTGCTGATTTACTACTTAACTGTATATAGATTAGTCGAGTTTTTCCAGATTTAATTTTTATTTTCTTCAGAAATATATCTGCAGTTCAGAGACGAGAATCGTTGATCTGTTATAGTTTAATTTGTAATCGATATGTGTTCAATAAGCAATAGATTTTCAAAGATAACCATCTTGTTATTATGAATTTTTAACACAATGAAACAGCATGATATAGCATGCAAGTCTTCAATTGATTTTATCTTTAAACGCTAAAGGGTACTTTCAAATAGTTCAGATGTTTCAACGGCCAGGAAAACGGTTTTAAAACTGGAAGACATTAAACTACAATAACGGCTCAAGTAATTCATTAAAGAGATATAAACATGCAATTCTAATTGAGTTTAAAAGTTATTATATATATATATAAACCTATAAATAATCTGAAAAATCGGACAGTTTCAATCCTCCAGCATTTCAGGACTTTGATTGGAAACACTTTAAAGGGTTTTTTATTTGTAGTGACAGAATTTGTTTTTCAACTTTGATGAAAAGCAAAGTATATTTTCATTGAAGTATAGGGACAATTTAATACTATCTCAATCGATATTGTTATATCAATTCATCTACTAATTTACCATAGAAACAACTATATTTTTATACTTCTCTTGTGAAACAACTCAGTTTACGAAAAACAAATATGGCAGACATGAACCAACGACAACCACTGAACAACAGGCTCCTGACTTGGGACATCATGCACATAAGAAATGTGGTGGGGTTAAACATGTCTGTCAGCGCTGAATTCCTCCTCTTACCTGGGACAGTGGTGTAACAGAGCAACATAAGAACAAACTGTAAAAATCAGACACAAAGCACCGATACAAGAGTTCTCGTAGTTACTGTAAGCTAGTTCAAAGCCAATTACAACTAATAAACAAATCATGTTTTCCCAAAGTATCTAGTAAAGTATCAATCAATACACATCCAGCAGATTTAGTATAAAGACGTCATAAACACCCTGAGAAACGCATGACCTTATGGAATGCCAAAAATATAAACTTATAAACAGTATCGACAGGATGTAGGATCATGAGTTCTCGTAACTGTACATATATAGCAATATATATGTAGTGATGTCTTTTTTTTTCAAAAACAAAATCAATGTTAGTACCGATACAAACAATATTTAAAGATTAAACTACTGTGTTAAATTGACAACCTTTAAGAATAAGTTTATTCAAAAGATCAATTATTTACGCCTATATTGATAATAACGAGTGGGTATAGAATAAATTGGTGTTAACGTAATAATTTGTAAAAAAAAAATGGAAATAAGAATATGAAATAAAAGAAAAATCCATTTTTTTAAAGATGTTTCCAATAAAAATTATATTGTATTTTAGGCCTTTTCGAAACATGTAGTAAATAACAAGTAGTTTTAAGTGTATTGTACTACGGTTATACTGATGTTAGAAAATGAAGGAAAAACCCTGGTGAACAAAAGGCCAGTAAATGCACATTATAAAGTAAAAACATTGATCCCAATGACATTCCTTAATGAAAAAGAAACAAAGCATCGTAATGAATTTTTCATCTCATGACGTCTGCTTAAGAGCGAATGCATCTTTTTTCTTTTAAAAAATACCGATTCAATCTTGTTAACTAAAACTGAATGACACTATAAAGAAGACAATTAAAATCGTTATATAGCTTATGTTACTTGTATCTTTTTAAACCGACTTTATTGAAATTTGTATGTCTATAACAATCTTCTGTATTTCTCAAAGAGAATCAATAAAATCGACATTATATAAACTTTCACAAGTTATTTCCCTTGGATATGCTTAACTGTACACACTGAGGTGTCCACCATCTAAAAGGTACTTTTATCCAGATTATTTTATAGATTCAGCCTTTCTGTTTGATATGATTTGCATTACATTGAAAAGTTCTTAATTTATTAACAGATAATGTTTGAATTATATATGAAATTATATTACATGTAAATGAAATGTTATTGATTATCCTTGTCACTGACCCAAATATGCAGTGTTTATACAATCTATTTATAACTCTACATAAACAATAACAATAACAAATCTGTTACGTAGAAATTATATACATAAGTAAACAAATAGTTTAAAAGGAATAGTCGCTAAATAAATCAAACTAAAGCATGTAAAGAAAGGTTAAAAGACAACTCTTTCTTGGCTTCAGTGAATAATAATACATGTATTAAGACAATTATTTTTTAGCAATGGGACTTGTGTCCCGGCTTAGATAATAGATGTTTGCTTTAGATATGCAAAAACGTTTTGAAACATTCTCCAGAAAAAAAATGATAGGCCAATGATTTTGACTATAATTAAAAGCAGGAGAAGAAATTCGCCCATAAACAACTGTTGAAGAACAAACACAAACATTGGCATGCAAATTATATGTAATTTACATGTTACTATCATTTTTATAAATAAATTGAAATACATGCTTTTTGGAACTTCATGAAAACAATGGTTGATTATGTCATTGGTTCCCCATACACAGCTGATTGGGGTTGGTCGTTGCATTATATCCAATTAAGAAACATACATGAATATTAGCAACCATTTAATCCCCTAAATGCATGAATCCCCCGCCCCCTTTTTCACCTTTTAGAACTCCGAGCAGGAAAATACGTAGGAAATTATAAAATTTATTTGTACGAGCTTGAGAAAAGAGAAAGCGAGGCTAGCCTTACTTTTTTTCCTGTTTCGTAGCGCAAATACATTTTCTTACAATGTAGTGTTTTATCCTGCAATTTAACATTGACGCTTAATAGTTGAGTTTTTTTTTCACTTCCTAACAATTGAATTTGTTTTTGAGTGAAATCAACGCGGACCGCAATGAGGACCCCAAATTGAACTGTAATTTATATATTATCGTTAGCTCACAACAGAAGCAGGATACCAGAAGACGATGAACTTCTACTATACTTTTATCGATTCATTATACCCGCAACCTATATTTGTACAGTAGAAAGGCCGATTGCAGGATAAAATATAATCTTCGAGCAGAGTTCTTGGGATTATATTGTTGTTTCGGGTTGATACGGATGTGATATTGAAAAAAAACATATGATATTGTCTATTTGTATTAGGTACTCACTATTTTTCTATAGTGCCCATCTTTCAAAAATGGTAGAAATACATTTTGCATATTAAGGTGCCCTAATTGATTTTAAACATTTGTTTGAATCACAGTCAGGATTAAAATATGTGTACTTGTTTTTTTTTTAAATGTAAGAATCTACCGACACCCCATCCCTCCACCAAAATTTCTAGCCCCTCCCTGATAAAATAACCGTAAATATCTGGCAATGACATACTTGCATTAGAAATAAACAATTATGTTATATACACAGAATTTAACTTCCCTCAGATACATGAAACGTTAGAATTTCCAAGGGATAAGTTTTAGTTAACTAATTTTGTTACTATAATCTGAGAAGAAAAATCTCATTTCACTTATCGGGTATTAAGGTTTTTTTGCGTCACTTTAAAGGGATCACAAATTTTCTTTTGTTCGAGATTGCTGTCACGTCTAATATGCCTTTTTGAGGGAGGGGACTTAAAGGATCATGTGCGTCGACCCATTTATGGCCATGTTGACTTTATATAGAACACATAATATATACCATTGTTATTTGATTTTAAAATTCAACATTATCTTATTCAAATGTCTGCTTTATAACTTCTTTCTTTCTTATAAGTTATAAGCTTCATTTATATCAATTCCAATGTTTTCTTTCCTTTGTAGAACTGCCATGGCAACATCAGCGTCGTCGTCATGTGAACCATGTTCCCAAAGAAATAAAATAACAAAGGCATTAAAATGGTGTAGTGATTGTGAAGAATCGATGTGCCAAACGTGCACCGATTGTCATTTGTCAATGAAAGCAACCAAACGTCATCACATTATAGATTTACAGGTCGCCCATTCCTGCCATTCAAATCCACTGACAGGGATTCAGTTTTGCGAGAAGCACGAAGGTCATCCTTTCGAATATTTTTGTAAAGACCACAATGCTTTATGTTGTCACGAATGTATGGCAACTAATCTGCATAGAGCCTGTAAGATACACACAATCAAAACATGTTCTAAACATTTTAAGACATCACAAACATTTAAGAATGTAGAAACTGTGATTGATCATTTTATCGAAACTCTAACAAGTATATCAGAAGATAGGGCATCTAATGCAGCCTCCATTAAAGGAGATGTCGAAGATGTAAAAAAGTCGATAACGAGGTTCAAGGCCAATATAGTACAACAATTAGACACGCTTGAAGTATCCATATTTGAGGACTTAGATCGTATGCAGGAAGAAATGTCAGTGAAATTAAATACTGAAAAAGACCAAGCAGAAACTGACAAGGAAGTAGTCAGTGTTTATAAGAAACAATTCCAATTCATGAGCCTCCATGGCTCCGACAGACAAGCATTCCTTTTCATGCACAAATTGAAAATGGCATTGCATGACTTGACTAATCAGCAGATAGGAAAAATTGCGCGGATGAGATCGCTATCCATAGAACATAAGATGCCAAAGGAACTCTTATCATGCTTGTCTCTTGGGTCTGTCATTCCAAAAGATAACCTTTGTACCGAAAAATTTAAACTTCATGTAGAAGATTTCAAATTTTACAAAAACTTTCATTTGCACAAGAAAGTAGACATGACCGGAATAGACAAAAAGGCGTTTATTACCGGTATGGCAGTGTCAGGTGATAAGCTGTTACTCTGCAATTGCGACTGGAATCATCACATGCCTCAAGTTCTTGTTTTCAAGAAAAGCGGAGAATATCTTGCCAACATAGAAGTTAAAGGAGCACCATGGGATATTGCTGTCCTACCACGAAGCGATCAAGCTGTAGTCGTTCTACCCAGCACTAACTCCATTCAGTTCATTGATACAATGAAACAGGTTTCTGGTAGGGAAATCAAAATGGCGGGAAGTGATGAAAAACGTGGCATAGCTGTAACAGACGACAAAATATTTGTGGGTGGAATGGATCGAATTGTATACATTTTAGACCACGATGGCAATTTGATGTCAACAATATTTAGCAGAGGTGAGAAATTTTGCTATCTCCTATCAGTCAGTAATTGCGATTTAGTGTATTCCGATTTTTCAAGTATTCACCGCATTAAACTTGATGGGTCAGAAGTCTATAGTTATAAGTCTCCAAATCTTAGAAACCCAAAGAAAATTGCAACAGACCAGCTTGGAAACTTATACGTTGCTGGAAAAGACAGCAATAATATACATCGCATAACACCTGATGGAACATTTTTGGACATTGTATTGACAGAAGAAGATGGCATTCATCATCCACGAGCTATATATTTTGACAACAGTAGCAACATGCTGTTCATGTCAAATCAATGTGGAAAAGAACTTCTGATTTTTAGTTGTACTTGACCTTGTTACTAACCTAATTGTTTATGGATTTTTTTTCTTTCTTGCATTATACTTTTACGTTATTGGATTTTTTTTGATTTTAGAATTGGTGCAATGAGAAACATATAACAGGAATAATAAAATGATATTAAATAATGGACTCTCGTCTTTTTTAAAAACAGCTTGTTCCTTTTTTACCTTCATACATTTTTGTTTTAGACATAAAGACTTGAAAATGGGTATTTGCGTGTACTCCGCTAAGCACGCGGCATTAAGGAGTAAGAGCAAAAACTAGTTGGGTCGGAGTCGGAATAATGTGTCCGGGTAGGATGACATGTCTTCCTGCGGACTGTTACCTTGTGAACTAGCATGTTAAAAATCCGTCTCAGCGTGTCGGTCTTGTACAAAGCAGGGATTAAACTCATACCACATTATCATGCTCTCAACCAGAATATGCATTTGATTTACCACTGGACGTTAAACAGCCATTCATCAATCCATCTTTTTTTTAGTTTGATCAAGATGTTCTATTGTTAGTTAGTTGTCGTTATCCCACAATTCTTTTTTTCAGTTTTCAGATTTTTTTCCCAGTAGAATGTTAGTTCACTCGTACAAGGCAAAATCTCATCAAACTCCTTAGACATTATGATTTGCGAGAAAGCTTTGTTTCGAACTGATCGGGTGATTTTCTTTGCGGCCTGCAAGGTTGATCCCTAGGCAACGTTATTCTTTAATGGTGTTCGCTTCTTTTAAGTCTCATTTGGTTATATACTAGCTCTGGTGTTTACTCATCTTTGGCTATCCAAATTGTTTCTTTTCAATTGTTCTTAATGAGTATTTCTCCAGAAAAGAGCTCTGAAAAATGGACACCAGTTTATTGTTGAAGACTGTAGGTTGCCCTCTAGATGTATTAAGTGAAGAAGGCAGGGGATGCCAAACAGAGTTCCACGATCGGAGGGTTAAACAGCAGGAGACTGTCTACCATTATACTATTTTTTTACAACTGCAAAATGCTCGGTTAAGAAGGGTCTATATTGGGAGTTCTCTTGTATCGATAATATCGCCTTACTTTTATGGAGCCTTAAGAATGTTGCCACATAGAGATTTAACTAAAAATAAATTCCCCATACATCCTACAAAAACTAGGGCATCTGTATACGTATATACAGAGAAATATAGAGTTTATGCTAATAAGACAGGAACCCAAAAAACCGAAGAAACCCAGTAATGATCTAAAGGATCTTACAGTCAACAACAATAAAATACACACACATATATATATATATACATGTATGCATTGAAACTAGGAAATTTAGATATCTCACCCTAAAATTGGTTCGTTGGTACTTGTCTTTTGCACTTTGTGTGAAATGAAACCGTAATTAAAATAGATGATTGCTCTTGGAACTTTTTATGCATTAGTCATTAGTCATAACTTGTATGCGCATCACTTATGTTATCAACCGAATGGATACCGCCTCAGTGGTCTCTTGCTCGCATCGTGTGTGGGAGTTCATGGGTTAGATCCCCGACTGGGCCGAACCAACGATTTCAAAATTAAAATGTTGTTGCTTCTCAGCCAACCACGCGGCATTTATGAGTAAGAACAAAGATTGGACGGCTTGGAGTTTTTACCGTTTGAGCTAGCACATCATAATCTTAGTCGGCCGAAAATAACACAGGGTATATATATATGTAGGACTCTGAACCGCGATGATACTCAGAGACGCGATGGTCACGCTGAGGTGCAATGGTTTGACGCTGAAGTGCGTTTTTTATCACGCTGAAGTGCGATGGTGGCATTGTGACGCTATCTTCTTGATAGCTACGCCGAAGTGCGATGGTGGTAACGCTGAAGTGCGATGGTCTACATAAACTACATTTTCAATGCTTTTCATGTCGATGTAGAAGTCAATTTGTATGTTAGAAGCAGTTTTCCAGGTTTTTAAGTTGGTAAGGTGCTTATAAATTTTAAATACTACGAGAAACGGGGAGGATTGGTGGATAGGGGAAAGTTAACCTTCTGTAGCGATTGTTTTAGAAATCTACAAAAGGTTTCTTTTTTATGTGCGGTGGAGTGTGACATTCTCTTAATACATACGGGTTCGCAGACAGACTCTCCGTATTATAATATTACGGTAAACCTGGAACTCACGAGAGGTACCAAGTAAAGATCAAATGTTAACGCAGAATTATGCAGATAATCAAAGAGGGCGATCTCTCATTTAGTGTGCAATTCAACTGTAATGAAGGACAGACATAGACAATAATGAATGTAAATTTATATACTAACTATTTACAAAATATACATGTACTTCTCATATGCATAATAATTGCACATCTGTAGATTTTGAACTAGCCATCATGGTCAAATAGACCATCGCACATCAGCGAACGGACCATCACACTTCGGCACAGAACATCGCACTTCAGCGTGACCATCGCACTTCGGCGTCCCCATCGCACCTCCGAGTCCTACATATGTATATATATATTCATATCTCATTAACAAAATATCGTCCTTGTAATATTTGCAGCTGAACGTTTAGGAGGCAGTAATGACTGAATCAGTCGACTGATCATTATCATTGAAACGCAAAGAGCAACAACAAAAATTTTAAAGTACAAAAGTAATATTTATTATTTTATCTTTTGAGAACACTTTTGAGGTCGTGAGAAAACATCGTCATGCCACAGCCAATTTTGGGATAAGAATGTTCTGGTCTTTGTAAATATTGTAAATCTTCTTACTAAAGTTTAATTGTCCTTTAAATGCAATTTGCTATATTAAAATGAATTTGATATAAACTTTACAACAATTGTAAACCATGTACAATACTACATATTATAGCACAGCGTTTCCTTGAAGACGAAAGCTATCCAGAAGAAAAGATGAGTATTGATATTTAAATTTTGTGGCGAAGTAAAAAAAAAACAACAATATATTCCTTTGAAAAACAATATACCAAATAGGCAATACAAAACTATAGTTCGAAGAAAGACGTGTAGCACAATGGCCAAAAGACTAAAGACTAACAGCAGTCCACAAAATATTTAAAAAAAAAATTTAGATTGAGCAACACGAATCAAACCAGTAAACGGGTTTGAACTCTATTGCTTCCGAATGTTCAGCAGTTCCTGTTTCACACAAGGGTGAAAGACATTGGAGGATTATCACAATCATGTTATCTCGGAAATATCAAGAAATATCTTTGTACAGTTTTAATATTTCATACAGTTTATCTTTTTTAAAAACGAAAATATTAGAAGTTTGTTAAGTAATATTCATTACAATAATTAATCGTACTGAAATAAGAAATCAGCAAAAGAAGAATCGAAAAACATGACTAAGCATACACAAAGAAAAATAATTGACAAATCGAATAGGTATGTTACGCAAATCATGATATAAAACACTGTAAAATATAGGTAAAAATTTTAGACTAAAACATTCAATTTGATTTTAACATATTCAAAACGTTTAGATTAGACCGACACAATTACTAAAGTTAGTTAAATAATGCTCATACATTTGAAATGCCACCCATCGTGATGCTCAAAGCAATCAAAAACCGGTTATCATGATGCCATAACTTTGAGAAGACAGCGTTGTGGATACAATTAAACATCCTTGGCCAAATGCGAAACAAATATTCCATGACTGTGGCGTCAGAAAAATGTGTTGCCGAAAAATTTACAATAAGAACCCCTGGTTTTGCAACTCCATTGGAAACAGTAAATCTATTTCATGAATTTTAATGAGAAAAATAAGCTGTTGAATATATATATAAACTGGGAGATATGTACTCCATATTATGGTGCCTTAATAATGTTTCAATACAGAAATGGAATGATTACAATGTGCAAATAAAAATCAGCTCGTTTGTCATAGCCATTCTGTCAAATATCTATAAGTCAAGATAAGAAACAGACTTCACTATATATTTGGTATAGTTTATTTCAAGTTGAAAGGGATAGTTGCGATCAACATACTCACCAAACTTTAGTTATTTAGTGAGAGACCCGTTTAAGTATAGGGGTAAAAGTGAAATCAAAAGATAATGCAGCTAGTTTCATTTTGCATTCTTTTTTTAAAGCCTCCGTATGAATTAAATCTGCGTCATACAACACGTCGACCAAACGTAACAAATGTGTTTTCAATGAAAACGGGATCTTAATAATGTCAGTTTTAGTGGTATCTATTATACATGTGTCTGTCCCTTGCTAACCGATATTTGTATCAACATTGTATCTTTTATCACAAATTGTACATTTTATCTTCTTATTAATTGTTTTGGTAAAAAATTTAGTGAGGCAATGAGGCAATGAAAGTTACGCTTCTGGTTTCGCTTTCAGCCCAGGAATTGAGACCCATTCAGTCACATTGAAAACAGTTTAATATTCATTGGTTAGCTAAAATAAGGTTTTTCTATGTCATATGTTTCAGTCTGGTTCACACAAAGCTGTCAGGTCACAAAAGGTTTCCAAAAAATCTAAGAGGAACCAAATGATATGATTTCCTTGCAACCAACACGTGTTTCTAGAATAATCTTTATCAGTTACGTGCTTGACTCAAAGATTGAAAAGTCAAAAATATAATACGTCAGGGAGCTTAAAAACCAAAGAGGTGTAAAAAGAAAAACCAAAATTATCTATGGTCAGCTTTGCTTGATAGAGTTACAAACCTAGTTTTAGCACAATTACATAATTCCTATTTCCCAAAATGTGACTTTATATCGTTACCTGTCTAAAATTATGAAAATTATAGTTTAAAATGAAAGTGGTTAAAATTAACAAATGATATATAAAGTGTTTAATCTTACTATAGATTTTTGAAAATAATTATCTCAATCTACTGTTTACAAGATGAAGAAACTAATGGCCATCGTGATGGTTATGAAAATGATAGCTTCCTCCATCTTAATGACCACCACCGTATTGACAGCATCATCCATTTCCTTCGCCATAGGGACACGTGTTTTGGTATCTGAAATCGTATCCTTCACATGGTTTCCCGCATTCATTTGTCGGAGGATTGTCACATGATCGGTATTGTTGTCTGGTACAACAGTTACTACAACAACTATCTTTCCAGTCGCTCCATCCACCATTCTTAGGGAAACAGATATCGAGAAGATCGGAGCAATTTCGAAATGGATTGCTGAAAATAGATTGAATTTTATTGGCTTAGAAAGAAAGGAATTTACTTTGCTATACACACGTGATTTCACATTGGGAATCCTAGTTTAAAAGAATAAATCAAATCAATACACAGTTTAGAAATAGGTTTTCTATACTGAAAACAATGCATGAACATTTTTTGAACATTATCACTTGATAACTACAAATATAAGGAAAGGTCAGAAACGTTTTCAAGATCATTTCAGCTGTTTAGTTTTTTTGTTGTCTTGTTGTGTTTTATAATGGGGTGGGGATTCGTGCTATTGTTAAATACGAACACTAAAAACTAACTAACCTTTCTGAAGGTTCTAAAAATACATCTTGTGGTATTTGTTCAATATTAGTATTTTCACATATTATCTTTGCCATTGTTATTGGGCGGAAACCTTCAAGTTCTTGTGGTGTAAATGGATGCGGATTCAGTGGAGTATTCCCCTCATAGAAGAATCTATCACCATATTTAAGAGCTCTAAACTGTAAAGCTAGTATACATGTAAATGTTGGCCCTAATCTGCTGCCTGGTAAAGGATCTTCCGATATACCTCCAGGAAACAAATCTATATCACAAGTGTATCTACAAAGAAGGTCATACATCATTTTGAGTTGTTTTTGATTATCAGGTATAAAAAAGTAAGATAGCAACGACAAAGAGATGTACAATTCTCCCGTTAAGAAAATAAAATGCTGACTAATTCATCATATGGGTAATTGTTATGATTTAATAAAGTATCAATTGTATCAACAATGATGTAGAAAATCCTATTTCTACACAATAACTGTCTTTTGTATAACCAAAGACACATCCAAACACAAAATCGATTTTGACCAAAGACACATATAAATTCCAAATTGATTATATAAACCAAAGACACATACAAATTCAAAATTCATTATAGCCAACAACACATATGCATGCGAATCAAATTTTGTATAATTGAATTAAAACAGACTGTGTATTATACATGTAGTCGTAATTTTTGATAACAATTGCACAAAAAGTATCGTGGGTGACAGTAACTTAAGGTATATACATTTTTTTAAATTTCCTATGAATTGATTTGTTCCTCTTTAGTGTGAAGTGTCATTCTATTTTGTACATGTGTGTGCATGAGTTCTTTATAATATAGTTGGTATGTTCAAAGGGATTATTTTGCTATTTAAAAAAAAAATACCATAGATATCTTCATTGTCTGGGCTTCTATTAGTTCGTGCTGCGTCCTTGTGTACGTTTTTGTAAGCGCTTTCACGTGTACAATTTTTGTGAAATTTAAATCAAAAGTTAATATCAGCAATGTCTTGGAAAAGTAAAAAAATCAGTGCCAAATACTATTTTTAAAGGAGTTATGTCCCTTGGAAATATAAATGATATGAAAATTGCATCGTAAGCGCTCTAAAGCCTACATTTTTGTAAAATTGATCTGAAATGTATATCATAGGTTTATATCAGCAATGTCTTAGTTAAAAGAATTCGAAAATCAGCGTTTATCTATTATTTAGACTTGAGTTATGTCTCTTTTTTAATGTAATTTATATTAAACATTACATTGTAAGTGTAAGTACTCTCATGCCTACATTTTTGTCAAATTTTTATGAAGTTTATATCAAAGGCATAAATCAGCAAGGTCATGGAAGAGTTTCAACCAACTATTTTACAGGAGTTATGCCCCTTGAAAAAAGAAATAGAATGAAAATAACATTGTTAAAGATCTCATGCCTACATTTCTTGTAAGATGTTTATAAAAAGTTTAGAATATTTATTTTTTTGGTTATTGCCCATGGGCAGATTAAATATCTGCAAAGCGGGTACAATGAAATACTAAGTGACTGTTCTTTTATTGGTTTAGAATTTCCAGCTTAGTTAATTTTATTACCGATGGTATACTTACGCATAAGCTTTATTCAGTTTTTTCGCGGCATTTAAACTATGATAAAAAAGACCACCTTCTACACCTGGGTTAAAATTGTCAGCTTTGACCGTTTTCCCTGTGCACCAGTGTAGCCACGTAGTGTATGGCGGAAGTCCATGATCACGACCTCGCTGAATATTGAAAGATGCCAAATCCCCGCCATTTCCTGCCATTGTTTCAAACAGTTTCCAAGTGATTTCTCTCGTCATCTTCTCGTCTATTTTTTGTGCGTGATTTTCATACATACCTCGTGTACAACGTTCTATTCCACTCGGTTCGTATAATAAGTCCGGTTTGTTCAAATGCACGTGAAGGTCAAACTCACTGTTGGGAAAGATAAACTTATCCCTTATTAAACTATGTCCCATTCTATATGCTGCCGTTGAAAATGAATTTCGGATCATTGGCCGCACGGTTGGGTCATAGTCAGTGAAATGCCCATCCCATAATGGTACCAAACCAAACTGTTCACGGATTTCCTCACTTAGTAGTTTTGGTAAAAATTCATTATAGGTGATGTGTTGAATTTCAGCCGCAACGTAGCGTCTAGTTTCCTCGAAAATTTGTTGTCCAGTCCAATTGTAACATTCGGGGCTATTTTTGAAATGCTGGGCAATTCGGTTGTGCTCTCGTACCCAGATAGTGTGTAGGGAACTGAGCGCGGGTTGTGTATTGGCCCGTACATCACCTGTGTTGTAGAGAAGAAAAAAAAATATTCAAAACGCTAAAGGGACTAGTTTTCTTGTTTTGCTTCAATTGTTATTATGTTCTAGCTTGATCTCAAGTAATCCACTTTGCATTTCAAATGTTATATAAATACCGACCTTATTAAATGAGCAACGCTAATTTTTAAATAGAAAATAAATTAAACTTAATACCATTTCATTATATAGATTTTTCAGCAAATTCAAATTATAATTTCCTGCAGAATTCACAATTATACTATTAAGTTTAAGACTTTCATAAAGAATCTTTTTCTCAATTGTGAATTGCCTATATCTGTGTAGCCTTAACTAAAACAGCATATTTTTAAATTCAAAGATTTTCTGTTTGGTAAAACAAAGGGAATCTTATAACTGAATTTAGATTTTCTTTTCTATGTTTTCCTCTTCAAATAAAGGCTATTTTCCGTTTTCTAATTAAGATGTATTATTTCTACATATGAACTTCATTACTTCTTTGTCAACCTTTACTTTTTAATTACCAGTTAGTTAATATATTAGCTTTTAATGTCCATTCTAATACTGTTTTCCATAGTCAAGTATTCTTACCAATATCTTGTTGATGCTCTGTGATTATCTAAATGTGTGTTATTTTTATAATACTAATGCATTGCCCATCAACCAATAACAATATTTGCAGTAGCGCCTAGCTAGTTTGTTAATTGTTTTTGTGTCCACTCCCGCATATGTCCATATCTGTACCTTCTAGTGCATTTAAAATATAAAAAGGGAACACTGAAGTTGACACTAGGGACCGTCTTATTCTGTTTTAAGATGCAATAACTTAGGGGCATGGATCATAAAGGTCGACTTTCCAGTAACTAACAAGATGAAAAACAGAAATAAAAAGCTGTATTTTGATACAAGTATATCTGGGTACTTTTGTCTCATACACATTGTCAATATCAGTTTTCCAATCATAACAAACAAAAGGTTAATATACTGATTGTTCTCTTTTTTAAATGTTTAATTCGGAGTTCGAACTCACATCCGCAGTGTTTGACAGGCTAGTAATTACTGTGAATGAATTACTTAGACCACTAATTAAGGCCCCTCATTTGAACATAAACATGTATTTATCGGTATAAAGTACCTGCTCTAAAGCATGCCTTATTCATATCCGAGGTACAACTAGGATCATTGAAGTCAAGTGGCAGCTTATCATCCGACGAAACCAACATCATTCCTGTAATCATAAAAATGTTTCATATAAAGTGAGCAAAGATATATTACTGGGCGACCTACATTTGCGCGAATTTTAATATGAAAGGCATCACGTTTGCGCGAAGAAATTGTATTAAGTTTGCGCGAATTTACCTGTAATTTACCTGAGTTTTTGCATGTTATCTCGTTGGTTGTTGTCTATCATATTTGTTTTTCGTTTATTGTTTTAAACATACATTGGAAATCATACCACATCTTCTTTTTTTCTATATTGATAAATATTTATTAGAGAAATCTTTATTCGTTTATATAAACACTACTTTTATGTGAAAGAAAAGTTTTGAATACAATGCAGTGAGTACATCGGTTTAAAAGAATAATTAAAAATCATAACTCGATGATAAGTCACATTCGTTAATGTTTACGCAATATTGCAGATTTCGGTCGCTAAAATCCATTCACTGGTTAAGTACAGCTTTTTTTTTCATTAAATCTTTCCTGTTATTACCTCAGTTTATATTTTGTTATCTTTTACAAAGGTTAAAATCCCCAATTCCCTTGATGAAGTGGACCTTAGACTTTTTTTGGTATTATTTGTTACAACTTTAAAATTCCACACTTTGGGTTCTGAGTGAATCGAACGAAAAACATGAAAAACGTAGAAAATTAATTCATCATGACAAATATCTCTATGAATACGATCAAGTGTCTGAAAGTTGCATTGAATTTCATTGGATAGTTAAGAAGGTAGATATTCTATACAATACTCCCTTTACTATATGTTAAAAAGCATTATTTAAAATGAAACGAAGGATCGTGGAAAGGCTTGGAAAAGTTAGTATTCTTCTTCAAGGGTACTTGCAAGATAGGAATTACTATCATCCCTGGTAAAGAAGAAAATATGAATGGTGATGGCACTCAAGCAGATAAATCACAACTAGACACAATGAAAATTCTGTTCTTTTGTATTTGAGAACCCTTCAAACAATTCAAAAAAAATAATCAAAATGAAAGGTGCATGCTGAAGTTTTATTCATAAATTTACAACTAAAAGGCAGTCGTTGGGAAACGGACAATGGATGCTTCACTATATCTTTGATTCTGTAATTGAATGACGACGTCTACTACTGTGTCTTGCGATATGTGCTAAGTCATTAAATTTTTTTTTCTGTTCAAACTTCTGTACCAACAGCATAAAGACCAAAAATGTACGGTACATTCGACTTCATTATTGTTGTTGTACTTAGCCTCTTTTTCAAACGAGATTTCCCCCAGCATGTGAACTACGTGAAAGAACAAGTGCAATCTGAAATTCGTTCATGCATTTTGAATTATACACATTTTACTTATATTACGAAAGTGTAGCTGCATAATGTATGTTTACATTTTATAGAAAAACCCTTTGTAATGTCAATAGAACAGACCGCAGACTTCACTACGGATACATACACATATTGTTATGAGCAATACCTGGAAACAAGGTACACCATCTGCAACGTCAATTACTGTTTTTTTTCAAATCTTTGTTGCTCCTGTTTAAACATGTATTCCAAATATTTCTATTAAGAGGGCACTTATTTATACTTAACCATTATCATTAGGGTCTTTCAATGTATTTAACTCTGCAACAGTAGAACCATAAACACCAGAACCATCGATGTAATGTGTCAGTTCATTAAACTGTTCTCGATAACCTGAAATATCAATATAATGTGTCAGTTCACTAAACTGTTCTCGATGTGTGTGTCCAGTCAGTCACTTCTTATATCTAGATACTATCTAACTGGTCTCCTTTTATATACATGTATATATACTTAAAAAGATTATTCTTCAGTTAACAAGAAATTACGAAATTGTTGTATGTTACGTTTAGCGGTTCAAATTGGTTTGACTCGGCCGGGGTTCGATTTCACGACCACCCGCACTCAAGTTGCTCAATAGATAAAAAAAAAACATTAATTCTACAGACATATGATATGAAAAAATCTAAATACATTGTTTACATCAGAAAAGTTTGTTTCAATTTTCATATGACATATATTATGATGAAATTACAACGTTAATATTAGAAAATTAACATTTACTCAGCTTTTTGTCTCTGGCTTTAAGATTATCCAAAAGCTTAGTTACTCTTATGGAACTGTTAAATGAAGTACTTTCACAAATCTATATAAATAAACATAGATTTTTATGCCCCACCTAGGGGCATTATGTTTTTCGGTCTGTGCGTCCGTTCGTTCGTTCGTCCGTCCATTCGTCCGTCTGTCCCACTTCAGGTTAATTATTTTGGTCAAGGTAATTTTTGATGAAGTTGAATTCCAATCAACTTGAAACTTAGTACACATGTTCCCTATGATATGATCTTTCTAATTTTAATGCCAAATTAGAGTTTTGACCCCAATTTCACGGTCCACTGAACATAGAAAATGACAGCGTGAGTGGGCATCCGTGTACTATGGACACATTCTTGTTTGAAACTACAATAAATAGAATTGTGGGTTGATTAAACGAATGATACTGACAAAATTATTGTCAATGAATATAACACTTATAAATTTCGTGCTTCCGAAGCGCTTTTCTGGTTTTAGCTTCATCAGGCGCTCAGACCTTAATATTTGAAAACCAAAGATGTATGAATAAGTAGAACGTTAAGAGCCAGAAGACCAAAAAGGGACCGAAAAAGAATGGTCAAATTCGTCTACGGTCAATTTTGAGATGGGTGTGTTATCAATGTAAAATAAAGATACCTTTCTCCTGTCTATGTCTTATTTTGCACGACAAGATTAAATCTACAAACTTACCAAAATTACAACCAAGGTCACATGCCGCTTGAGACCTGACAAAATTCATGCATCTTCTATTGTTTCCGAGTATATCCCGATGGTAAGGATCGTCACCAGGTATAGTAAACGTGAAGCAATCTGGGTTCCTGGGATTCTGTTGTCTACAATGCATAACGATAATAAAGGCAACATTCAAGTTAACTTTCGTCCAAAAACTTTTTTAAAGACTAATCATATGTTGTTGTTTTTCAAGGGTTAAACAAGTAAATTTACAGTTCTGAAGCGTTCAAATTTCGACAATTTCAAGGACATTACCCGACCTTGACAACCCTAAAAACATTGGACCTGCTTTGATAGTACTATAACTGCCCTTGAATTTTGCTAGATAACATTTTTGTTCGATATGGAGATTCCGTATATCGTCAAGTTATCGGAATTCCAATGGGGACTAACTGTGCACCACTTATTGCGGACCTGTTTCTGTATTGTTATGAGTTACAATTTATGACTAAAATCAGCAAAAATCCATCGAAACAACATCTGATACAAAAATTTAATAGCACTTTTAGATATTTGGATGATATATTGGCTCTCAATAATGACGACTTCAGTATGTACACTAAAGAGATTTATCCTGCTGAACTGACTTTAAATAAAGCTAATACTAACAATGAACACTGCCCTTTCCTGGATCTTGATATCTATATCTTTAACGGGAAGCTTAATACCAAAATTTATGATAAAAGAGATGATTTTTCATTTCCTATTGTTAATTATCCATTTTTAGATGGTGACGTTCCCTTGTCACCATCTTATGGTGTTTATATATCTCAACTTGTTCGATTCGCTCGTGTATGTAACAACGTATTTGATTTTAACGAAAGAAATCTCTGTATTACTGAAAAATTATTACACCAGGGTTTTCTATATCATAAACTAGTCAAAACGTTTACTAAATTTTATCATCGATACAAGGACATCATTTGTAAATATAAATCAACATGCAGACATCTTATACGTTCAGGTATTTCGCATCCAATCTTTTATTGTAATATTCTTTACAAAGCACAAAAATGTCGGCATTCACCACAAAAGCTAAAAAAACCTTTAAACAGACTTATTCAGAAGGGATATAGTTACGATACTGTTGTCATGATGGCATATTTTGGTATTAATATTGATTCACTCATAGAGTCTTTGCATCGGAAATAAACACATTTGTTCTAAAACCAGTTGTTGGCATGATACGGGTTATGTTCTTCTCATATATTTTATGATGGTATGATACTAAACCCCTAACGGGAGGGATTGTGCTTTATTTTCATATGATTAAGATATAATCTTTCAATCAGTTTAATTGAGGTCTGGAGCTGGCATGTCAGTAACTGCTAGTAGTCTTTTGTTAATTTATGTATCATTGTCATTTTGCTTAGTTTCTTTTGTTACCTATTCTGTCGTGACATCGGACTAAGACTTCTTTTAAACTGAGTTTTACTGTGCGTATTGCTGTGTCTTTGTTTTTTCAACATTGGCTAGAGGTATAGGGGGAGAGTTGAGATCTCACAAAACATGTTAAACCCCGCCGCATTTTTGCGCCTGTCCCAAGTCAGGAGCCTCTGGCCTTTGTTAGTCATGTATGGGTTATTCTAATTTTAGTTCATTTATATGTTTTGGAGTTTAGTATGACGTCCATTTTTGATGAACTAGTACACATTTTTATTTAGGGGCCAGCTGAAGCCCGACTCCGGGTGCGGGATTTTCTCGCTGTATTGAAGACCCATTGGTGGCGTTCGGCTGTTTTCTGCTCTTTGGTCGGGTTGTTGTCTCTTTGACATATTCCCCATTTCCATTTTCAATTTTATTGTTAATTTGTATATGCAATTTATTTTGCGTTTTTGTACTTTGTAAGCAGTGTTTTATGCTAAAAAAAACTATCTACTGTAATCTAAACCAGTACACAGCCATATTAAAAAAACCTGTGCTTTTTGTGGTTTAAATATAGTTGCGAAATTTTTCGAATAGAAATTTGCATTCTTTCAAATCTAGCTGTATATCTTAAAAATCTAATTACGTGTTGTGAATTTTGAATTATATTTTTGAAATCAAGTTGTGTAACTTGTTCAAATCTGAAAGAGTATCTTCCTGGTTTTTGGTTATTAATTAAGGAGGTTGTTTATTATATATTTTTCTCAAACTGAAGATAGATAGACAAGTATTTCAAATTAATTTATAGGTACCCCTCTAGAACCACTTGCTTTTGTGATTGCCTTAACACTTACCTATTAGGATTACAACAGTCTAAATTAAAAGGATATGCTCCTGTAATTGAAAGAATAAGAAAGTAATCAATGATAATTCGTAGTATGAAATTGAAGAATTATAGAATAGCGAATTCAATATAACCAGTGCATTTCAGCCCCCCCCCCCCCCCCCCAATAAAGACTAATCCAGAATCCCGACACATAGCACTGTTAGCACATACATATAATTATTTACAATCTAAAGCCATTATGGTATCTTACTAGAGGTTTATTGGCACCTAAAACGGCATGAAATATCTGCATCTTTTAAAAATTTTCAATGCTCTTCAACTTTGTTTATAACTGTTATGATTTGAACGCCGCTTGTGAGTTTCATGTTGACGAAACGATCTAATTTAAAGATAGTTAAATATAATACTGTTTAGGCAATTCACAATACCTTTAGATAAAGCTGTTTTTGTTATATCATGGTCCAGGAATTGCCCAAATGTCATCATATAGGAGCTAATTGGTGGATCCAGATCGGCAAGTGTGCTTGTGGTGTGTACAAAGTTACTAATCTCACGTGGACCCTCTAATGGTACATTCAGTTTGCCATATTTTCTTGGTTCTTGTGCTCCTACAAAAGAAAATGAACGGGATGCGTATTTTTAAATTTGCAATCATATTCTTATTTGTACAAAATGTTTTACTATATGACACCTATAATGGCCTTTTTTGTCTAAAATACAAGGCAAACTTTAGTTCACTTTTATGAATTTAAAAAGGTCTATCCCCTAGCCATGCATGTTAATGAGGATATAGTCTGTCTATGATCAGAATTGTATCAGGCTCAAGTCATCCATTCAAAATAAAAATAATAAGTCAGTTCGACACTGCTATTCGATTTGTAATATAAATATTATAAGATGTGGTCTAATGGTCAGCGTACGGCCTTCACCAATGAGCAAAATATATATCGCCGAGCAGCTAAAAGCATGCTAAACGTGCTTACACGATGGCTAAGGGTAGTACTACGTTCTTTTTTCAATACAAATTGAATAAAAACTTGTGGCCGGTTGATGGACTAAATTTATTTTAACTTGCATGTTTGTTTTTCTTTTTCTTTCGATACTGATTTATTTTTATATATATTATAATTTTGCCGTAAAAGAAATACTTATTTAGACGGATACACGATTTACAAAGCTGTTTCGGTTTTTAATTTGTTTCCTTTTTAATTCTTGTATTTTTTGCCAACAATGCAACAGTAATACCATCATTTAGCATTTTTTTCAAAGAGATCGAAATTTTAAAAACGTTTTTTTCGCTGAACCATATAAAAATAAGGAGATGTGGTATGATTGCCAATGAGACAACTATCCAACAAAGTTCAAATAAAGTGGATGTAAGCAATTATAGGCAACCGTGCGGCCTTCGACAACCCCATACCGTAAAGTCGACTATAAAAGGCCCCGACATGAAAAATATGAAACATTCAATTGAGAAATCTAACGGCCTAATTTATAACAAAACAATTTACGAAAAACAAATATTACAGACATGAACCAACGACAACCACTGAACTACAGGCTCCTGACTTGGGACAAGCGCATACAGAATGTGGCAGGGCTAAACATGTTTGTGAGCGTTCAACCCTCCCCTAACCTGGGACAGTGGTGTAACAGCACAACAAAACAACAAACTATAAAAATCAGTTGAAAAAGGCTTAACTCATCAAAGCAGAAAAGCATTAAACAAAAACACACATAGGACGTGGCAGGGTATTTATCCATCTCTCATTCCTATCAACAAAAAGGACACTAAGTACAGATCTGAGAGTACTTGCAGTTACTGACAGCTAGTTCAAAGCCAATAACAGATAAAAAAAATCATGTATCTAAGACTAAAATATCAATCAGTACACATTCAACATCCAATGGATTTAGTGTAAAGACGTCATTAACATTCAGAGAAAAACATGACCTTGTGCAATGCCAAAATAAAGGTGTCGACAGATTGTAGTACCGTTAAAGTGGATATGTGTATAACAAAGCTATTTAGTATGATTGTAATTTACTGATAACAAAATCAATATTTATACCAAAAGAAACAATATTCAAAGATCTAATTACAGTGTTGAATTGGTAACCTTTTAGAATAAGTTTATTTAAAGGATTGATAAGTTTACCCGGATCGTATATACATTTCCGGGCTCGGTAAACAACATCACCGTAAAATTTAGGATGTGCTATTCTATCTGAAATAAGTTTTTTACAGGTACAGCTAAACTTGCAAATCAAATCTTTGTATGTATGGAAGAATTTAGTAAAGGTTTTAAGTAATTTGTGGTAACGAAATCCCAGTGTTGAAGACTCATTGGTGGCCTTGTGCTGTTTTCTGCTCTTTGGTCGGGTTGTTGTCTCTTTGACGCATTCCCCGTTCCCATTCTCAATTTTATTGTGCAAGCACTATTTCCACTAAAGTAATATAAATAATAGAAACTATTTGATTGAAAACTAGCATATAAAAATTTGTGTACCATCAGCAAATTCGGGTTTTAAGAATCTGTCAAATGGAGTGAATGATTTCCCCCAATACGGATGGTCCAGGTTATTACACGATCCATCAATAGTCCGGTATTTCGCAGATGCGCTACATTCAATGAAACTAAAAGGACAGGGAAGATCTAAGAGTCTTGGATCTGGGAGTTCTGATATGAACCGATCTATCTGTGCCCTGTCTGTTTCTGACCTGCAAAAAAGGAAATTATATGTAAAATAAAGCGGTTCAAAAATTCTACTGTCTTTGTAGAGATCTGCTTACTGGTCTCCTTTGGGTCAACTTGTTAAGTATTATCTTTTTGTCAATCATTAAAACGATACCAAAATATTAGGAAAGAAAATATAAGCCCATAGGACATCATGCTCCTCGCGCACTATCACATTTTAATGCTCAGTAAACCGCAAAATCTTGGTCAAATATTTTACTGGCATATATATATCAACCTATTCACTTCATAACAAATACGTGTATGAAGGTTCAAGTTGATGTAACCACAAACTATCTTAGATTTTTAACTGATTTGGAAGGGAAGGCCGGGCGGACGGATGCACAGACCAGAAAACACAAACTACTATTATCTTTTTCTGGTTTGGTATCCAATATGTATTCTTGAAAAACTAAAAATGTATAATCGTGATTAATGTTTACTTATTTTTTCTGTTATTCATGTATTTATTGAAGAAGAGAGTTAAGAATAAAGACAGACCAATTTTTATGACTTTAAAATTTTGAGATAATGATGAGCATATATCTACAATTCATTATGTACTGTCTATAAACCCCGGATTAAGCCGCAAAAAAAAGCACCACCGGACTATAGGAAATAAGATTTTTTTTTAAATCCATAGGTGCTCAAGTGTTCTGAGGAGTTCAACACAATGAAGACTGTGTAGATTTTGATGTCTCAACGCTGAAAAAATTTTAAGTTTCAAGTTCAAGTCGAAAAACATATATATGTGTACAGATAAACTCGTTATCGTTGGCCACCGTAACTAGAAGTTGCACGCGTTGCCGTATTTAGACTAAGCATATCCCTATCGTTTTTCAAAGTATATCGAAAAATAGGAAGAAGGTTTCTGAAAAGCCCCCACATGTTACAATTCATCCCTGTCAACATGCCGTCCAAATAAAACATAAACTCATCTTAGTTACCATATCAATAAAAATTCATGTCAACACAGAAGTGCTGACTACTGTGCTGGTGATACTCTCGGTGAGGAAACCTCTACCAGCAGTGACAGCTACCCAGTGGTTGTAAATAAACTCATCATAGATGCCAGGCATAAATGTTATTACGCCAGACGCGCGATTCGAAGTAATTCCGTTCGGAGGTATTGTAGAAATGTGTGTCGAAAATATTAAGTTCATTCAAAACATTGAAGCGTATAGATACTAATTGATTCCTAGAAAATTATTCTTGGCATTGAATCTTTTAATCAAATTTGAACAAAGCCCAGGGGACATATTATACTACAGTGCCGAATTTACTGTAAAACTCGCTTGTTACAACTCATCCTGTCAATTTGCTGACCAAATGATATAAAGTCATTCTGTTCTGTACCTGAGAAAAGTGTGACGAAAATATGTGTTGGACGGACTGACGGACAAGATGATTGCAATATAAACCCCTTCTTTATAGTTGAGGTATAATTTTACATATTAAAATCTAATTATATCAATGGTATTTAACAGAGTTGAATTCGTTGCCGTTGATAAACTTGCTTTCAAATTTAGAAATTTAATTTAACATAAATGGTATTTTGTCTTTTGATATAGTTTTAATACTTACAATAATACTTTTGTACTTCGCTTGCCTCGTTGTAATTCTTTCTCCGTTGTTGGAATGGTATTTTGCGATGGAGTTGTCGCCTTTTCTTTTTCAGATGTAGTCATAGTTACCGTAGTATCTTTTCCAGATGTAGTCGTAGTTACCGGTTCTTGGTGTCTAGTGGTGATAATGTAATCTCCAGTTGCATATTCTATCGCACGATGCACAATGTCTCCATAAAAAAATCCTTGTTGGTGTACAACAACTGATTCCTTTCGTGTAATTAGATGTGGTCCAAACATTGAAGTCGTGTTACCGTCCGGCGTATCGATGCCTAAAAAATAGGATGCTTTCATATCGTCTGTATATAATGGTTGCATTTTTACTGTATCGACGAATTAATTCATGTATTATTTTTCAATAAAGATTTCTGACCTCAAATGCAGCAACAGCAATACTAATGCAAAGGTTTCTTAAATATTGATTATAAAAGTAATATAGATTATAACAAAGTTTATACTAAGTTTTTTTTTCAGAGATAAATAAAGACATTTTAAGAACAGCACAAAACTTAAAAGCTTGTTGTTTTGTACATAAGCCAAGACGTTAGTTTTCTCATTTCAACTGTTTTAAATTTTTCTTATATCGGGGACCCTTAATAGCTTATTTTACTCGTTGTTGAAGGCCGTACGGAGACCTATAGTTACATACATCTACGTCAACTGGTCATGGTGGATAGTTGTCTCATTGACAATCATACCATATCTCGATATTTGATATTAATCTTTTATGCAGTAAAATCATTTTTTAGACTTGGAAACAGAGATGTTTTACTGCATTCTTTTAAAAGTTAAAATATGGAGATGTGGTATGATATCCACGAAGAAACAAAGAACAACTACTTACATGTCTTTGTATGGCCCTTAAGAATGACAAAATCTCATACTTATAGTAAGCTTTAAAAGGTCCCGGGAAAACGAATTGTAAAACAAAAAGAGAAAAAAAGAAAACCAAAGTCCTGATTTAAGCTTCTTTTGGCAGACAAATGGCAACAACTGGACTACAGACTCCTTGCTTAAAACAGGTACATAAAGAATGTAACCAGGTTGATATAAAAATAAGAAGATATGATATGATTAAAAAAGAGACAGCTATCCACTAGAGACCAAATGACGTAGTTGTTAAAGAGAGGCGAAAGATACCAAAGGGACATTCAAACTGATAATTCGAAAACAAACTGACAACGCCATTACTAAAAAAGAAAAAGACCAACAGACAAACAACAGCACACAAAACACAACAAAGAAAACAAAAGACCAAGCAACACGAACCCCACCAAAAACTAGGGGTGATCTCAGGTGCTCCAGAAGGGTAAGCAGATCCTGCTCCACATGTGACACCCGTCGTGTTGCTCATGTTAGTACAATCCCGCTGATAAGTCTAAATCTACATGGAAAATGACAAAAGACAAAACAATTTGGGTTTTTGTTTCAATGGGTTGCTGTTTCTATTGGATTAAACCATGTGTTCTTTTATTCAGCCAAAAGAAATTTTGATATATAAAACTTACCTCTTTTTTGGGCATCTAAATTTCCTTCCATTATTAAATTCATTTCATTTTCCGAATCTTTTTTAAGTATCTTGATTATTGAAAGAGATGGTACTTTAAATGGTTCAAATCTCGTTGTTTCTTGTAAAAAGTGTCTCACAGGACCAATAGTAATTGCTTTCTGGATGCCATATTTCTCATTCAATATGTTTCCATTGGACAAAGAAAAGACAAGAATGGTCACAAAAACGGATTTCCTACAAACATTGTTAATAAGAATGTACATCTAATTCATTTTATTGATATTAATGAAAACGAAAACAAGTTCGATTACAAAATTAATTTAGCCTATAGAATGAACAACTCTGGTTTGGTGTCCTGCGAGAAAATGATTTTTCCCCGAGAAGTCTAATTTTTTTCGAGATGTTTGTTTACATTGCATGACTTTTATCCCCTGATGATATAAGTATTTATTATACATGATATTTTGTACTTGCAACCTTCCAATGTCGCAAATAAGTAAAGATAAGCAATTGTTTTTGAGGAACAAGATGTTTTAAGATATCTCAGCGTCAGTCCGAGTATCCCTGAACATCCAGGAATGTTCATCTGTGCATAGATAAATATAAATAAAAAGAACAAAATTGCAATAGACTACATTTAGTAAAACTCACAATAAATATTACATAATATATTTATAAAAAAATCAGATTTAACTTTGGGTTTAAGGGAAAAAAAAGATTTTTACTGCCAAATCACAATCTTTTGTACATTCTAGATATTCTTTCTTTATAATGACTGTAGAAAATACTTTTTTCTTATTCAACAACAAATTGCACTTCTGCTGTTAACAATGTTCTTCACTAGTCCAGCATTCTAGTACAACTATAGAAAGTACTATTGTAGAAACATAACGGCCCAAATGTTTTTTAAAATGTTCCCAAGTTCTGACATTTGCCAACTTTAGATATGTCAAAAAATATGAGTAAATTGTACGCAATAAGTATAAAGATGTGATTGATCATTTTGATATGTTGGCGAATAATTACCAAATTCGTGCTTGCAATCAGCAACACAACAGGTGTCACTGGTAGAGTAGAAACTGCTTACTATCTCGGAGCACCTGAGTTCAGACTCGGATTTTATTAGTTTGCGCCCCTCAAACATTAGTTTTCTGCTTTTTTTTATTGTTTTGAAAGTCGTCTGGTGTGTTAATTTGGCCACCTCCACCTCCACATCTGACCTTTTTGATATATTGAATAACTGAGAGCATAAAACAGGGTAAACAACTATATTGTTTGTTGGGTGAATGATAGATTTTAGGCCATACCAAAAAAAATCTCTACTTATCAATGTCAAACGTTGGAATTATTTGCCAATTCTATATTGTCTACTGTCCAGATTTTCAATCTTCAACCCTTGGGTGAAATATTAATGCACTCAAACTTCTAAATGTGCAATGATTTTGTATATGTCTTACCTTATTATCTTTTGTCTTTTTTTATTACACCAAACACTTAATTTGGCCAGAATTCACCTTGGTATCCATTTTTTAAAGGAACTTTTAACATAATAAAATACAAGAATGTGGGCATTGCTTTACCTCTTATGAACTGTTACATCTTTACAGATTAAAAGAAAAAAGATATTAACAATCTCAAAGACTATAAGTTCCACAGATATTTTATACATTATAGATTTAGAAATAGCCATTATTTTCCGGCGTTTACATGGAAAATATCACAGGAAGCTCAAATTCATGAAAAAAATATTTTGTATTGCTTGTTAGTCCAATGGTAGGCGTAAAAATTCCAATCTAAGTAATTGTTGCAAGAATAAGAAGAAGGCTTCTTTTTGAAAAGACGCAAAGAAATATTGACAATTTTCAATTTTTGTCGCCAATCCCCTACATACGTCTGAGCTATATATTTGTAAAAAAATACAGGAGCTTATTTTTGATAGCTAATATCCCAAATATTTGGAGATCAGTTTGAACAGGTATTTTATTGCACGTGGCATTTTTATATTTAATTAATTAAACCAGATATTGAACAATTTCTTAGATACTGTATATTCGTGGAAGTTGTTCGAAACATCAAAACATTATATACATTTCTTTTTATTATATTTTGTGCGTACCTTTCTTTTTTAAATTTCTTTTTGTTTTGTTTTGTTTTGTTTTGTTTTGTTTTGTTTTGTTTTGTTTTTTGTTTTGTTTTTTGTTTTGTTTGTTTGTAGAAAAAAACGAAACCAATGATCTTTTGATGTAGACAATCGTACACATCAACAAACTAACAAAACAGTTAAAGAATAGAACCCTTTGAATCCTGCATACTTACAGAACAAACAAATCATTCGGATTATTAATAAAACTACTTTAAAAAGAAATAACTATAATCATAATAATAATGATCTTGATATCAATAATAATTTTAAAGTCAAACATAACTTACCACATGTTCACGTTTTATATAAGACCGTTTGGACCGTTTTAACTCTATTTGAAATTCAAAACCATTTATACAGCGGCCAATTTATACTTATCTATTTATAAAACTGTAACGTCAAGGAATATGGCAGCCAGGCAGCACGAAATGTATTAATGCATCCTTGATAACTTCCTTGTAGGTTTCGGGCGACACCCTGTTTAATTCACCAGTCTTAGACCTAATTCTTTCATCAACTGTCGATTATACCCTTCTACCAAATGAGATTTTGAGTTCCTTACTTATTATATTCATATATATGTATATTTAAAAGTCATTACATAAAAGAGGATAAATGAACACGTAATTATTAATAAAAAAATATTAAGAATTCCTTTCCGGTACATTTGTGATCAGAACTGCATTAATGTTCGTTGACTGTAACATTGCAAATGGATATAATTCTTTTTTCCTTATTAATTTTGCATTTTATGTATATTTGTTTTCCCCAAATAGTTTTATATCTTAAAGAGCATATATTCTTCCATTATTGCAACATTATAGTTGAGATACAACAGCTTCATACTTCAAACTGTTGTATGGCATATCTGTCCTAGACTGTCTATGATGTCTTTCCACTAACTCCATTGGATGTGTACTGATGGATATTTGGTCCTGGATACAATTTTTTTTTATTAGTTTTTATTTGACTGGAATTAGCTTTCAGTAATTGCGAGTACTCTGAAATCGATATATATAAGCAAGGTCTTGCATGACCCGAAACAATAAATTTGTATTTAAGATTCTCATTTTTGTAGAAAAAACCATATTGAGACGATGTTTGCGATCCTATAATTCAGTATTGGGAAAAGTAGTGTAATACGTAGAAAAATAAAAAGTTTTTTTTATATCTTCAGAATGTTAAAGAATCCACATCTAATTGACACCTCTGGTTGAATATACCTCATTACAATATTTCTGAAAGCCATCTTTTACTGTATAAAGAATGCTCGTACGAACTTTATCCAGGTATCCAGTAAAAAGGCGGCAGATTTTCGTCATTCTTTTTTTATAATAAAACCAAAGGAGAAAAGGACGGATTTGTGATATTCTAAAATCTCCTCTTTCGTGAGTGATGTAGGGGTATATGTGTGTTTTCTAGTTTTGCTGTGAATTCTGAGTTCGTTGGTAAGACATACCAAATAAGTATTAAAAAGTAAAGATATTCAACTGGATTATTCTTAACATTTTAAGTTAGGAAAAAGCAGTGGCATCGACCTAAACTAAATATGGCCGACCATATTTTAATATATGGAAATGTTTAGTAAATTAATAAGACGGACACCAAACAAAACAAGTTCACCACAAGTAGACTTGTAATATACTATAAACAGAAATATACTAGATGGAAGACAAAATTGATGAAATAGTCTTGAAGCATTGAAAACCATATGTTCAAGAAAGTTGATTAAAACCTGGTTATGGCCATATATGCCATGGGGTAGAAACAAATCAGTGTTTTGCATGGTTTTAAAAATTCTTATGAACAGTAAATTTACAGAACATGACTGCAACAATAATATTCCCTGTCAGCACGGGACAGGTTGTGACTGGTTTAAGCAAAAATGGTCAATATATGAAATATCTGATAACAACGCCAATATTTCAAAGAGACTATAAAAAAATACTTGTCATGAATCTTTCGTAACGACAGAAGAAATGGTAGAATACACAATGGAAACGGGGAATGTGCCAAAGAGACAACAACCCGACCAAAGAGCAAAAAAAAGCCCAAAGCCACCAATTGGTCTTCAACGCAGTGAGAAAATCCTACACCCGGAGATGCTTCATCCGGTCCCTTAACAATAATGTATACTCCCGCTAACATGTTTAACCCCGCCACATTCTGTTTGTATGTGCCTGTCCCAAGTCAGGAGCCTGTAATTCAGTGGTTGTCGTTTGTTGATGTGTTACATATTTGTTTTTCGTTCATTTTTTTGTACAAAAATTAGGCCGTTAGTTTTCTCGTTTGACTTGTTTTACATTTGTCATTTCGGGGCCTTTTATAGCTGACTATGCGGTATGGGCTTTGCTCATTGTTGAAGGCCGTACGGTGACCTATAGTTGCTAATTTCTGTGTCATTTGGTCTCTTGTGAAGAGTTGTCTCATTGGCAATCATACCACATGTTCTTTTTTAATAGTTCAGAGAAATGGACGCCACACTAAACTCCGAAACAATACAAATAAACCAAAGCACACACGACTAACAAAGCCTAGAGATTAGAGATAGAGATATAGATATCAAGATCCAAGAAAGGACAGTGTTCATTGTTCTACAAGTTTTATTTAAAGTAAGTTCAGCAGGATAAATCTCTTTAGTGTATATGCTGAAGTCGTCATTATTGAGAGCTAAAATATCTTCCAAATATCTAAAAGTGTTATTAAATTTATGTATGTTGTTTCGATGGGTCTTTGCTGATTTTGGACATGAATTGTTATTCATAACAATATAGAAACAGGTCTGCAATAAGTGGTGCACAGTTAGACCCTATTGAATTTTCGATAACTTGGCGATATACGAAATTTCCATATGAAACAAAAATGTTATCTGGTAAAATATCGAGTGCTGTTATCATATCAAAGCAGGTCTAATTTTACATATTTTGTTTGTTTGTCTTACCAAAAATGACCTAAAAGAGTTCGAGAATATATATAATCACATTCTAAATTTTGAAATGCCCAGTCAATTAGGTATGTGATTTTTCTTAATGAGATTATGAGGCAAACTGGTATAAAGGTTAGTTAAATCAAAACTTTGAACAGACTCGGAAGCACAAATATGAACATGCAATTATTCAATTACTTCCAATAATTTTTGACTATTCAAAATTAATTAATTTCCACTATTTTCGCAGACCTTATTTGAAAATTAAATTACTAGGATTTTGATTTAACCAAGTATTCTTATAAGTCGAATAGACAGTTATGTAGTGGAACAATGGCTTGAAGATTAAAAAATCTATATTTGAAAGGTGTTTTGTGTAGCTTTGTAAATGTATCCATTTCACTTTTTTTGTAGCGTCAAGTCAGTAGCGTGTGCATATGGAGTTTTTATCTCTCAATTTGATAGTGTATTCCAGAGTTTGCGTTGCCTCTCATGATTTCCTTAAAGAGGGTTTCTACTTAAAATATGAAACTCTTGAACAAAGAGTTCCAAATGGTCAATTTGATGTCTATCCTTTGAAGTTTTTATGGACGTTATCACAAGTTGGTTGACCGTTATGGAATATCTATTTCACAGATGACGATTGATATGTTCCAATCGTCGGAGCCACAATTCCATCCTCTTTTTCCCCGAACGTGACCTACCAAATCAGACTTGTCACCGGGTTTGTACTTGAATGAACTACTCGACGGGTGCCACATGTGGAGCAGGATCTGCTAACCCTTCCGGAGCACCTGAGATCACCCCCGGTTTTTGGTGGAGTTCGTGTTGCCCAGTCTATTGTTTTCTATGTTGTGTTTTGTGTGCTGTTGTTTGTCTTTTGTTTTTTTTTTTTGCCATGGCGTTGACAGTTTATTTTCGACTTATGACTTTGAATGTCTCTTTGAAATCTTTTGCCTATCTTTTACGGAAGCCATCATGATTTGGTTGACTCTGTTTTAGGAAAACAATGAACGAGTAAAATTCACAATAAAAACTAACATGGGAATAGTGCTGAATTCTGTAAAGTAGGTATTACATACCAAAATTATATATCATTTAATGCTGTATCAAAAAATGCTCGCAGTATCTGAAAGCAAGGTTAGTGTTTCTTTCTATTCATGGTGAAATCGTGCTGAAAATAAAAAAAAGTGTCACAACATGGCGCTTTTGGCAGGTACGCATAGCTAAATAAAAAATACAACTCAATATTGTATTGACCGCAATATAATTACAAGTAAATATTGGTATGGTCAGGTCAAACACAATAGACTTCACAAGGAGATATATGATTTTATGCATCCTGAGCAAACTGATATAGGCATAGAGAAGTACAAATAAATAGTATCAATTACTTCACTTTACAATTTTCTATAATTTTGTCTAGGTATGTTACATCCATATTCACTAGGAAATGCACTACATCTTAATTAATGTTTCCTTATACTATTTCAGCAATAACTGTTTGCCGTATGAAGTCAACTTTAAAGAAGCGATAGCATAACAACTCATATTTTGTAAAAGTAAGAACAGAACTATCTGTAGCTATATTATAAAAAAAATGGTTAAAACTTCAGAATTTTGACCCAGACAATCTTTTGCTAATTTGATCAATGAGGGTAAATTATCGTTGAGTGATCAATTTGAAAATTGATTGTTTACAGAGAACATGTTATCTAATACACTTCAGGTTTAATTATCTATCAGGTGGTGATTCATCCATTCTGTTAAACTATATATTACTTTCTTCATTTCCTTCTATTGGTCTTGATGGTATAATGAGATATGTACCAATGTACGTTTCCCGGATATGAAATTTAAAATGCATTAACTTTTGTCTTGACGCAATCATATATATCTATATATGAATATTTGCCAACCATATAGGTAAATCGAGAATTTATATGACAAATAAGAGTGACAAAGGCTACTGTAATATTTGTTTCATATATATTGATATTGATGAAAATCCTAAACTGTTCATTAATTTGATTAGTAATATGTACTGCAAACCAAGCATTCCAGTTCTGTATTTTATATCCATGAAAGGGGAAAGAAGACTTCGACAGTGATGATGAAAAAAGACTTTAAAACATAATATTGTCAAGAGATGTCTTTTCTTTGTATCTTCATGTTATATATAATTAAGGAGGTGTGGTATGATTGCCAATGAGAGAATTATCCACCAAAGTTCAAATGAAGTGGATGTTAGCAATTATAGGCAACCATAAGGCCTTCTTTTAAGAATAAGTTATTGATGGAATATGTTGCCTTCATTTTACTAGATTCGAGGCGATTTACCGCTTGAAATATTGTACAGATACTGAATATTGCAAGATGTCCTTTAAGGTTGTTTGCTGCTGTCTCTTTGACATGAATCTTTCATCTTCATCTGCTCATTTGACATGCAAAGAAGAACATAACAAGCTGCTTTTTCAAATATCAAGCAATATGTTTTCATCAAGAAGTTAGACCATGCCACCAATAAATTGAGTCATTCGGCTCATTAGAAGATCAAAAATTTTGATAAAAACGGCTTATGTAAAACT